GCGGCATACCGAAGAAGTCAGGCGCCTACTCGACACACACCATCAAGGCCTTCTTCAAGATCTGCAAGCGCAAGGGACCCACCGCCGTAACCATACTGCTGAATCTACGGCAGGCCTTCTACTCCGTCATCCGCGAGTTCGTACGTGGGAAGGGAGGCGAGAAGCCTGAGCTCAGCCGAGTCATAGCAGAATGTCACCCTCCTGAATGGCTCATGCCGGCAATCAGGTACCGGGTCGACGCGCCAGGGTATATGGCCTTGCACGAGGTCGACGAGAACCTGCGCTACCAGCTGGAAGAGGCCCACGACACGACGTTCTTCTAGGTGAGGGGCGACGAGCTATGCGCGCAGAGCCAGAAGGGCACCAGACCAGGGAGTGGGCTGGCGGACCCCATCTTCTACGTCAGCTTCGCCCAAGCGCTGGGCCCGTTGGATATCGAGCTGCAGGATGGAGGACATGCCCTGGACCTCCAACCGCTTGGACAACAAGCCATCCTGACCAGAGGGCCGCTCAACGATAATGAAGGTTCGCTGCCAGAGGTATCCTTCATGGACGACGCCACCATCCTCTGCGAGCTGCGCGTCAACGCGCGCGTAGAGAGCGACATCTTCAGCATACTGTCCATCATCATGAAGCGGCTCAAAATATTCGGACACGAATTACATCCAAAGAAAACGAAGGCAGTGCTGCAGATCGAAGGGAAGGCCAAGCAACACACCAAAACCAGGATATTCAAGAGTGACCCGATCACGTTGCAGAACGACCAGGGGGAGGACCCGACCAGCACAGACACCGACACAGCCGAGGTCACCACACAAAGGGTCACACTGGGAAACGTGGTTACAGCCAACGGAAGCGAAGGACCGAACCTAATGCGAAGAATCATCGAGCACCGCTCGGCCGAGGGGCCCCTGAAGAGGACAGTCTTTCGGCTACAACAGGTGAACACCAAGGCCAAGACCCAAAACCTGGCGGCATTGGCTTACAGCAAGCTCATATACGACAGCGAGGTCTGGGGGCCGTTGACAGCGCAACAGCGGCAACAGCTCCAGAGCCGACACATAGCCAGCCTGAGAGCAGTGGTAAGACAGCAACAAAATGCACAATCAGCCAACCATACCACTGACGACGACATCTATCTCAAGTGCGGCGAAGTGCCGATCCGCATGTCCATTCGGAGGTGGAGATTGCACTACTTCGTGAGGATGCTCCATGTGGACACGCCGTACTTGCACAGATTGGTCGACGAACTGTGGGGCGACCCAAGGGCATGGAATACTCAGATAGAGGAGGACATTGACTGGCTCAAGCAATTTCTGCGGGACGCCGAAGGGATCGGAACTGACCTTCGAGGATTCGCGGAGTGGGCACGCGGCCAGCCAGAACATGCAACACAAACACTGATTGTGCGAGCTTGGTTCAGATACCGCCAGTGGCAGCATGATACATACAGACACCGAGCTTGACAACGGCAGCTACACCAGCTTGCCCGCCAGTACGGCCTGACCATGCCCAACTTCGAAGGCAGACCAGCAGAAAAGCGCCAGGGATACGTCTGTTACGAATGCGGCAGGGTTCTGATGACCAAGGGCGCGTGGAAGCGGCATACCACGATGGAGCACGTTGGCTACGACCTAGCTGAGCGCCTGGCCAGATCCACTACCTGCCCTGGGTGCGGCAACGATTTCACCACAAGGTCGAGCATCCTGGAGCTCCTCAGGAGATGTCCCAAGTGCCTCGCGGTGCTAGAAGCGATAGAAATACCGATGGACCCAGAAGAAGCGGCTGACCGACGAGAAGAGGAACAGCTCCAAGTTGCCGCGAGAAAGGCACAAGGGCACGGGGCGACAAAAGCACTAGTACCAATCCAACAAGTTCTACGCCTGAAGCTCGCTGACCTCACCGACCAAGACCAATTGCCGAGATTGCCACTACCACCAGAAGCCGCGAGCATCGAGCCCGCGGGGCCTGTACCTACAACGTTCACTACATCCAGACAGCTGGTTACGGCGACCATGTTCCTGCTGCACCTCTTCTCGGGAAGAAGGCGGGTGGAGGACTTCCAGCACCACTTCGAGATGCACGTGGCCTGCTGCAACCTAGTGGTGCTATCCATTGACGTGCAGATCGACCCCATCAAAGGCGACCTCACCAAGCAGGACGCGCTGGCTATAAGGGCTGGCAAGATCTTCGGCATCCTGGCTGATCCACCCTGCGAGACGTAGTGTTCCTCAAGGTGGCACGCCCTCGAGGGAAGAGCACCGCGACCCCTCAGAACCCACGAACACCCGTGGTGAGTACAGGCAGCTAGCCAGACAGAACTACAACAGCTTGCACTGGGCAATGACCTCTACAGAACGGCCATCTTACTCATCACGACGGGTCTGAAGTTCGAAGTGTCAGCCATACTCGAGCACCCAGCACCTGCCACCTGGTGCCCGCAGGCACTGGGCAGCTGGCACAGAGCGGAGACCAAGTGGCTATTGAAACAACGGAGCGTGGAACTCCACTACATCGACCAGTGCCAGATCGGACAGACAGCGCGGAAACCAACATGCCTACTCGCAACACATCCACGCGAATGACGACAAGAGCTTCTGGCAGTACCCGGAGGGCAGACATGTACTCACAACGGACACGGCCGAGCTTCTGGACGTGATGGGACTGGCGGATGGAAAGCAGCACCATTCAAAGAATACCAGTCGAAACTGTGCAGAGCCATGGCGGCGGCATTCGCGGCTAGATGGGGACAGCTGGCAAACGACAATGCACCATGGGCCATGGACGACGAGGAGCATCACAACTTCTACGCACCACTGGACTACTACGCAAGGACTGCAGAGCTGGGCCACGACTGCCACAGGGAGCGGGGACCCCGAGGGCGCTAACAGGCACAGACACAGGCCGCGCATAATGGCACACACAAGCGGCCGAACGTACTACACACCGCATCCACACCATCCCCAACAATCCCAGCTACCAGACCTACAGTCACCAGACCGACAGCACCACGGCTGCGACACACCGACGTCATCGCACTACGTGGAACAACCCTAGCAGCCAGACACAGCACCACACAAGCCCGCGAACCCAAGCGCACACCCCTCAGACAACTCCCTGACCCTGACGGCGTCAGGACGCAAGTCCCGAGGAAGCCCCGAGTGCGCGGGAGCACCTCGGGCAGCGTTGCCACGCGTTGCTGGAGGCGTTAGGACGCAAGTCCTGGGGAAGCCCCGGACGCGAGGGAGCATCCCATGCACAAGTCGCCACGTTTGGCAGCAGACGCACGCAGTGCGGGCACACATGCACCTTAGCGGCCATCAGCAACCCAGACTACCAGACGAGCTCAGCGGCCGCCGAGCACCTACGACCAACCACCACCAGCAACGCTAAGGCAGCCCCCCAACACGACGTCAGAAGCCCACGCTGCTCTGGCGAGGCAAGGATCAAACTTCGAGACGGGCTCGAAGGGTGGGGGGGGGCAAGACGGGTACTGCCCGCGCCCGCCAGGGGGGATGGTGAGGGGCAGGGGGGGGGTAGGACGGCCACTACCCGTGCTGCCCCCGCGGTCCGCCCCAGCTCGCCACCCCCACCATCCCCACGACGGAGGAGGAGCTATCGCGAACGCCGCCATGGCGAAGCGGAGAGCAAGCGTGGTCACCCCCACCACGATCTAACAGCACCAGGCCTGGGGTTCGCCCCCAAAGCGGGCACAGTGACACCTAGCCATAGCGGGACGAGGTGGGACAGCCACGAATCCCACTTGAAGTCGGTGCATGGAGGCCAACAGGTGCGAGCCCTGCCCATACGCCCGTACACCCCAACACGATACCCAAACACCGACGACAGAGTGCGAGAAAGGTGGAGCCACCACAGCCGCACGACGCTAGCAACCTGGCTACACACCGCAGCGCAGGGAGCTGGAGATCACGCAGGACGACTAGACACATAAAAAGGACAAGACACACGGGAGCCCGAGGGAAAGGTGGTCAGGAGCAGGGACCGCACACCTCGAGCCCCACGCATACACAGCCAAACAGAAGGACGTGAGCAGGGTCCACAACGACAGAGACACGCGAGTACCTGGGGAAAGGTGACCAGAACCAGGAGCAGGGGTCACATACGCACCCAGGCGCACAAAGAGGAAGTTGACCACCCGGCGAGCTCTAGGACAAGGTGGTCAGGAGCAGGGACCAAACCCCGTGACCAACGATGGCCGAGGACGGAGGAAAGGTGGTCAGGCCCAAGGACCACACACTCTGCTCTAACGCCAAGGGGCAGCCTGCCCCGACCCTGGGCTCAGCGCGAGGCGCCGAAGGGAGCCCAGGTGTCGCAGAGAGGCCAGCCAGGCCGACGCGGGCTCGAAGGAAAGATGGCCTGGAGCAGGGACCACATACCTCGAGCCCCGCGATGAGATGGGGAAAGGTGTGCAGGAGAGCCACTCCACCACACCCCGCTGACCTGGGGAAAGGTGTGGTCAGGAGCAGGGACCACACACCCAGGTCCAGCAGAGGAGGGGACTCCTCCTCAGCGGCTGGGCTCAGCGCTCCGCGCCGAAGAGAGCCCAGCCGCAGCCGAGCGGCCAGCCTGGCCACGGCCCACGAAGAGGCCGAAGGCCATGCCGAGCGCCACGCCGTGGGCGCTGCCTGACGCCCGCGGCGCGGACGAAGGCGCGGCCCTGTCGGGCCTCCCATTTTTAAACCCGGCCTCTCCCCCCCTCCTCCGAGGAGGTATTTATTGGTCCCTGGTCCTCTCTCTCTCTCTCCTCGAGGTCGGGTTCCCGGGGCCGTCGTCTGAGTGCCCGCACGGCCCTCGCGGGCTGCTGTGGCGCGCTCCGCGCTCCGGGCGCATGCGAGACGCTGCTCGGAGCGAGAAACGCAGAAACGCAGGAGGAGGAGGAGGAGGAGGAGGAGGAGGAGGAGGAGGAGGAGGAGGAGGAGGAGGAGGAGCAGAAGCAGGAGCAGGAGCAGGAGCAGGAACAGCGGAGCGAGGCAGTGGGCCTCCCGCCGGAAGCAGGAGGAGATGCCCACATAGCGGATCGGAAACTTGGCCTGGTCGCGGCCGCTGCTCCTCCTTATTCTCCGCTCTCCCCCGACCGCCTCGTGCATCATGCCTCCTCCTCCTCCTCCTCCTCCTCCTCCTCCCGTTCGTTCATCCCGTCCCGTTCCTCCCGTTCCTCCGCTCCTCCGCCTCCTCCTCGCCTCCTCCTCCTCCTCCTCCTCCTCCCTCATTCCCCTCCTAGTCCTGCTCCTTCCATTCACCTCCATCCGTCTCCTCCCCCCCTCCCCGTGCCCCTCGACGAAAGTATCTACATGCAACTCCCTCTACATGGTCGGCTCCGGGAGCCCTGGCCCCCAAATAACCAAGTCTCTCAAGGGGGCAACTCTTGCTTCCGCTGGCCTTCCGCTGGCGGGGCCGCTCCCGTTGCACTTCTGCCGGCCACCGCGGAGAACAACAAAAATAACTTCTCGATGCCGCGAAAGCGAGGAGCTTGCTGGAACGCCCGTTATGACTATCGTCACCGTCACGCTTCAGCGCGCTGGGCTGCCTCCCGTGCGAGCGCATGTCAGGCCGCACGCTGGAGGCAACGGCGGGTGGCATGTCGGCCAGCTCCGAAAACCCGAATCCAAAAATATGCTGACACCTCTCATGGAGCATCGTGCTCGCCCCCCGAGAAATCCGATGTCGTGACCTGCGCAATGCGGGGTCCCCGGAGATCTCGACGCGTTCCCCAGGACCGGCTTTTCACCCCGAGTCGTTGTGTAACCGCCCCGGGGCCCTGCGAGGGCCCCAAGAGGCCGAAAGCTGCGAAACACCTCCGCCTCAACCTTTTCAGTGCGTTGGACTACTGGCCGTCGCTCGGACGCCCACTCCCCCGTGCCTTTTTCGGTTTCTCGTGCGTGGCCTCTTCGCCGAACGATCAAGGCTGCTCCCCGACGGCCCTCGCCGAAGGAAAGACGCACACGCCCGAGCGATGCCAAGACCATCTCTGGGCCCGCCGCCCCTCGCGCCGGCCTGCCGCCCGCCCCCCCCCGCGGAGAGCCGCCCGCACGTGTGTTGCTGCAAGGTCGCGCGGCCTGCTCGGCTCCGTGCCGGACCCCCCCCCCCCCGCCCGCTTGGCGCGCGGGGGGCGCCGCCAGGGGGCGGCGCCAGGGGCGCCGCCGCCAGGGGGGGGGGGGGGGGCGCAGCGCAGGCCCGAGAGGAGCCGCGCGGAGCTCCGAGAGAGGCTCCCCAGGCGGCGCGCACATGTCGAGGACGGGGCGGCGAGGGCGCAAGTCCCTTGGAGGCCGAGGCTGGGCTTTCCGGGGCGGCGGGCGACCATCAGAAACGGCAGAGGACGGGCCGCGTTGCACCGGCACCCTGGATGAAGGCGCGCGTCGTTCCTAGGCACGTTGCCCGTGATGGTTCTCGCCTCTGTTCTAAAGAACACGGCCTGGCTGGCTGTCTGGCGGCTCCATGGTCGCCGATGCCACCTCGTCGCCGCCCGTCCTTTGGGTTTGGCTGGCGGTCTAGCCGCTCCGTGGCCGCACTCGCCGCCCCGTCGCCACCTCGTCGCCGCCCGTTCTCTGGGCCTGGCTGGCGGTCTAGCGGCTCCGTGGCCGCCATCGCCGCCCACTGGCCACCTCGTCGCCGCCCGTCCTCTGGGCCTGGCTTGCGGTCTGGCGGCTCCGTGCTCGCCATCGCAGCCCAATGGCCACTTCGTCGCCGCCTGTCCTCGGGGGTTGGCTGGCGGTCTGGCGGCACCGTGCTCGCCGTCGCCGCCCCGTGGCCGCCGCACAGCATGGACTGCACCAGATAGATTGCGCAACATAGATCGCACGACATCTGGTGCACCACATATATCGCACCACAGAAAATGCCCACAGCTTGCACCACATATGTTGCACAACCTGGAGCGCTTCCAGGGATCCCCGCGCGTGATTTTGTTTACGTAGAGGCCTCGGGGGCGTGAAGGGGGTTCCACACTTCCAGCATGACCTGAGATGGTCGATTCGTGCTGGAGTCCTCTTTGGAGACTGTTGGGCCGTCTTGGAGACCCTGGGGGTCGGCCCAAGAGACCGACACTGTTGAATAGCATTTGGATGTCTTGTGGTTTTGGTATCGTATGATTTTCGTTCTGAAGGGCGTCCGAATCCGTCCAAGAGGTCCCCAAATATCGACCCCAGATGGAAGCGGAGGCCTCCAAGAGGGCCCCAAGATGGTCCCATCAGGGGGCCCAAGAGGGGGAACCCGAACTGACTCTCGAGATCTTCCCCCGAAGATGGCCCCCGATGCCGCCAGAAAGACCCCGGCAAATTCCCAAGAGCCCCCCCCCCCAAAAAGCTCACAAGAAGAGGCCCCCCAAGACGCCCCAAGAGACCTCCAAGATGCTCCCACGAAGCCCCCAAGAGGCCTCCTAAGATGCCCTCACGATGCCTCCATGACTCCGAGGAGCCTCTCCGAGAGCCCTCGTCGACGGCACAGGCACGGTGGGAGGCCTCTGGATCCGCCGCCCCCTATTGGCTTGCCACAGGAGTGCATGGCGTGCTAAGTCCTACATATACTCAGCGTGTTTTTTTTTTTTTTTTTTTTAATGGCCCCCAGATGGCCTCCACGATGGCCTCCACGATGGCCCCCAGATGCACCCGAGACGGCCCAAGATGGCCTCAAGACGGCTCACGAGGCCTCCAAGAGGTCCTCCAGGAGGGCCAGACGGGGCCAAAATCATCGACTTGACTTTGGTGTTTGAAGGATTTAGCCCTTAGCCTCTGTTCGGCCTTCCGACGGCCCAAGAGGATCCCAAGATGGCCCCAAATGCATCCAAGATGACCCCATGACGGCCCAAGAAGCTCCCAAGACGGCCCCCAGAGGGCCCCAAGACGGCCCAAGAGGCCTCCAAGACGCCCATGGTGGCCTCCAATATGGCCCTGAAGCACCCCAAGGGGGCCCTACGTTGGTCCAGAGAGGCCCCCCAGACGGCTTCCGACGGCGTCAGACGGGCCAGGAACGCCTTAAGACTGCCAAAGAGGCCCCCAAGAAGCCCCCAAAGGTCCCGAAGAGACCCAAGGAGGCTTCAAAGAGGCCCTCTCGAGAGGCCCACAAGAGTCCCCCAGAAGGCCCCCAAGAGTCCTCCTCCGCCTCCTCAGCTCAGCCTCCTCCGCCTCCGCCTCCGCCTCCGCCTCCGCCTCCGCCTCCGCCTCCTCCTCCTCCTCCTCCTCCTCCTCCTCCTCCTCCTCCTCCTCCTCCTCCTCCTCCTCCTCCTCTGTGTGTCCTCCCTCCCCTCCGCTTCTTGTTCCTCCCCCGCGTGCTCCCCGAAGGGCTTCCACAGCGGCGGGGGGGAACACACACGGACGGATCGCTCGGCAGAGGTCTGGCCACAGCGCTCGGCCACAGGGGCGACTCCAGACGGCCGGGGGCGGCGGTGATTCGCCACGCGCGCCTTCGATCCGCCGCCCCTCGTGGTCTTGCCCCCGGGGCGCACGGCGCGCGCGCTGCATGTCAGGTGCTTTTCGGCTCGTCTCGAGGCTCATCCTGGGGGGCTTCGGCACCGCGCGCCAGCCACGCGGAACGCTCCGACGTTTCGGCCTCCGTTGGCTCAGTCGGCTCCAGGACGGCCAAGATGGCCCAATATTGTCCCCCTAATACCTCCAAGACGGCCAACATGGCCCCAAGAGAGCTCAGGATAACCCGAAGATGGCTTCCAAGACGGTCCCAAGATGCTTCTACGACCGCCAAGATGGTCCACGAGAGCCCACGACGGCGCCAGAAGCGCCCAAGAGGCCCCGACGACGGCTCAAGAGGCCTCCAAGAGGTCCTCCAGGAAGGCCCCACGAGGCCGAAAGCATTGACTTTCAACACAGTGTTGAAGAGCTTGGCATTTGCTTCAACATGGCCGTCTGACGGCCCAGGACGGCCCAAGAGATCGCCCAAGAAGCCTCCAAGATGGCCCCAGGCCAGCCCAAGAGGCTCCCCAGACGGCCTCCAAAGGCCCCCCAGACGACCTCAGAAGGCCTCCCAGACGGCCCAAGAGGCCTCCAGACGCTCAAGCTGGCCTCCAAGATAATCCAAGATGGCAGCAAGATGTCTCCAAGACGCCCCAGGATGCAACCAAGACGGCATAAGGTGGCTTTCGCATTACCAAGTATGGCCCAAGAAGCGCCCAAGAGGCCCCGAAGACAGTCGCCAAAATCATGAATTTCCCATCGATTGCTGAAGATGTTGGCATTCGCTTCTAAATCGCCTTCCCATGACCGACGACGGCTCCAGAAGACCCCAAGATTGACCGAAGACCGCCCAAGAGGCCTCCAAGATGGTCCCAGGACGGCCCAAGAGTCTCCCAAGACGTCCTGCACAGAGCCCCAATACGGCCCAAGAGGCCTCCCAGACGCTCGAGAGGGCCTCCACAACGGCCGCAATGCCCCAAAGAGAACCCGAAATGATCGCACGATGTCTCTAAGACGCTCCGGGATGCACCCAAGATGGCCTAAATTGGCCTGAGCATTTCCAGGACGGCCCACGAAGTTTCCCCAATGACCCGACGACGGCTCAAGAGGCCTCCACGAGGTCCTCCAGAGAGGGCCCGTTCCTTTCATCTGAACTCTGCTGTGCATGGGAATGGCCGCAACAGCACTCACACTACCTGCCCAGGGACTACGGAGACAAAAAGAAGCATTAGGAGGGCGTGTACTCCCACACTCTCGCCATCGCTCGGGCGTCCATTCCCTGTGTTTTTTTCGCTTTCGTGCGTGGCTTTCTCGCCAAATGATCAAGGATGCTCCTCGATTGTCCTCGCCGTGCGCTCATGGTTGTAGCATCGGGAGGCGCTCGACCACATATTAGGCGACGTCTGCACCTCGACACAGGTCAGAGGGGGCTCTGCCTAGGTGCAGAAGGCTCCGATGGGGCCCAAATCAGTGATTTGTCCTGGAGGTTTCTGGCGATGTTGGCGTCTGCTTCCCAATGGCCGCCCGACTTTTAAAAAGGCTGCCCAAGAGGGCCCAGGATTGTTCCGAGGTGGCCCATAAAGCCTCCACGACGGCCCCAGGACGGCCCAAGACGCTCCTGAGATGCCCCCCACACTCCCCGTCGCTCGGACGTCCATTCCCGGTGCTTTTCTCGGCTTCGTGCGTGGTTCTTGTTCGCATCGGGGATGGACAGACCTCCCTTTAGTAAAACGTGGTTTAGTGAAAACGACCTCGGGCCCAAACCTGGCGGGCGCAGGCCTGGAAAATAACGACCGCGGCGCCCTCTCGAGAACCGAGAACGGACAATTAACTAATCGACGTGTCACTGTTGGGGGTTCTGTCCACCCCCGATCGCAGGATGATCCAGGATGCTCTTTCATGACCCCCGCCGGGAAAGAGTGCACACGGTCCGAGCGATGCCAAGCGCAGGGGCCCCCCCCGGACGGCCCAGAACCTCCCTGGCGCTCAAGATGGCCTTCACGACGTCCATTCCCTGTGCTTTTCTCGGTTTCGTGCGTGGTTTTTGTCCGCAGGATGATCCAGGATGCTCTTTCAGGATCCCCGCCGGGAAAAACAGTACACGCGGTCCGAGCGATGCCAAGCGCATGGGCCCCCCCCCAGACGGCCCAGCACCTCCCTGGCGCTCAATTGAGGGCCTCCACGACGGTCACAGGGCCCCCCCAAAATAGTTAGTTCGAGGTGGCCGCAGGAAGTCTCCGAGACGCCCCAGGACGTTCCAAGGCGGCTTTCTCGCCATCGCTCGGACGTCCATTTCCCGTGCATTTTTCGGTTTCGTGCGTGTTTTTTTTTTTTGCTCGATGGTCCAGGATCGTCCTCAATGGCTCTCACAGAGAAAAAATTGCACACGTCCGAGCGATGCCAGGCTTTCCGACGGCCCCAGAAACGCCCAAGAGGCCCCGAAGACGGCTCACTTCCAGGAAGGCTCCCAGAGCTTAGTGGGCCCCGGAAACGGCAGGGCCGTTTTTTCACCGTTTCCAGAAGAAATCCATTGAAAATGGAAACGGCAAAAAGACGGCGACCGGAAACAGCAAAAAAACGGCTCCAAGATTGGAACCGGAGCCGGAACCGGTCAAAAAACGGCGACGGAACCGGAAAAAAAACGGCGTTGGAACTGGCCAAAAAACGGCAAAACGGGACCGGCAATAAAACGGCCCTGTCGTTTCCAGGGCCCGCTAAGTCCCAGAGGCCTCCATCAGTGATTCCCCATTCGGTTGTTGAGGGTTTGGGGATCCGTTGCGCACTGGCGCCCGACGGCCCAAAAGTGCAAGAGGTACCCATGATTCCCCGAAGATCGCCCGGAAAGCCTCCAAGACAGCCCCAGGACGGCCCAAGGAGCTCCTAAGACGGACGGCCCCCAGAGGGCCCCCAAAAGGCCCAAGAGGCATCCCAGACGCTCAAGCTGGCCTCCACGACGGCCAAAATGCCCCCAAGATAATCCAAGATGGCCGCAAGATGTCTCAACGACGCCCCAGGATGCACCCAAGACGGTCTCCGAAGGTAATTAGTTTTACCATTACCCAGGACGACCCAAGAAGCGCCCAAGAGGCCCCGATGACGGCTCAAGAGGCCTCCAAGAGATCTTCCAGGGAGGCTCCAGGCGGAAATCGTGTATGCTTCTGGCCTTTGCTTCAACATGACATCCCGACTGCCCAAGACCACATTGACTGAGAGGCCTCCCGGCCGCTCGAGATGGCCCCCGCCAGCCGCTGCAGGTGGCCTCCGCGGCAGCCACGCTGCTCCCGGGAGGACCCGAGATGGCCGCAGGAGGTCCCCCAGACGCCCCAGGATGCACACAGAAAGACTGCCCAAGGGGGCCGCCGCACCACCCCGGGCGGCCCGAGAAATCCCCCCCGGAGGCCTCCACGAGACGGCCCCCCTGGAGGCCTCCGGGAGGCCCGAGGGGGGAGCCCGAAGAATCCCTGCCCTGTACAGGGCAGCTTTTAATAATATGAATTTTAAACATATCGGATTTTTAATACATGATTAATGTATGAATAAAGTTATGCATGAACTCATCGTTGTTTCTATCCCTGCATGTTTCTTACTAGGGAGCAAACAAACCTACCTCGCTTTTGACCACCCTCGCTTCCAAGAGATACCAAGCGATGCCAAACTACGGCCTGTACGGGTCAGGCCGCTTGACGAGGAGGCGCGTGGTATGACTTGGTTTTGCCCGGAAGCGAAAGCGGGGTAAGTAATTCACGCTCTGACTTACATGATCCGCACGCGGAACATGTATTAAAAAACGGCACTCTAGGTGCTCGGAGGCTCTTCGCGCTCTATCGCCCTGCCTCGCCTCGGCCTGCCGACGGCCCAGGGCGGCCCCCGAGGTCGCGCCCGGGGTCTGCAGGACGGCCCTGCCGGACGGCCCCGAGAGATCTGAAGGGGCCCCGGGACGCACAGATCAAGAAGCACAAACAACATGATTCCCCACGGTTTCCCACATGTTCTGGATTTTTGCCTTCCCCCCGCACTTCCCATAGTTTCCCACAGTTTCTGGGGAATCGGCGATTCATTGTGTGTCTGTGTGATCTTTCCCCTCCTGAAGATCACCGAGGCGGCCACAAGAGGCCTCGCACAGCGGCCCAGGAAGACCCCCTCGGAGGTCGGCACTGCGCACTGGGCATGACACCAAGGGAGCATTTGCGCGCGCTCTACGGGAGCCTCGTGCCCTACGGGAGGAATAGCGAGTCTCCTCCACACTGCTACCAGAGATGCTGCCGGCCTTCCGACGTCCCCAGACGGCCCAGGAGCCCTCCGAGATCCCCCGAAGATCGCTCAGGAGGCCTCCAAGATGGTGCCAAGACGGCCACAGAGGCCTGCTAGACACCCAGGGCGGCCTCTGAGACGGCCTTCAAACACCCATGAAAATCGGTCCTGAAAGGCCCCAAAGCTGCCTTCCGACAGCGTCTTGGAGGCCAGGAGCGCCCGCATGTGGCCAAAGACGCTCCAACAGAGCACCCACAGGTCCCCTTTGAGGCCCTGGGAGGCCCTCAAAGGCCTCCAAGACGTCCCCAGAGAGCTCCCGTTGCCCCAAGGAGCTCCCAAAAAGCCTCCTCCTCATTCTCCTCCTCCTCCTCCTCCTTCTGCTCCTCCTCCTCCTCCTCCTCATCCTCCTCCTCCTCCTCCTCCTTCTGCTCCTCCTCCTCCTCCTTCTCCTCATCCTCCATGTTCCTCCCTCTCCTGATCAGTCTCTTCATTCCCCCACGTGCTTCACAAAGAGCTCCCACAACGTCTGGGGGAATGGATGACCCAAAAAGCTCCGAAGAGGTCTCTTCATCCTTCTCCTCACCCTCCTTTTTCCTCCCTCTCCTCATCCTCCTCTTCTTCCTCCCAAGGGCTTCCACAACAGCTGGGGGAACGCATTGTTCACTAGCGTGACCAAACTTGGTCCAAATGATTTGCCACATAGGCGTATCCTACAAGGCACGAAACGACGGTGATTTGGCACAGGCGTCTTCGATATTGGCTGAGGCTCGATGCGCTCGGCGATCATCGGTCGACCGCAGAACGTGAGGCCGCGCCCTCCTGTCCTTGTCTTCCTCGATCGCCCTTTCGGCCCCTTCCCCCCCCCTCGGCTCCTTGTCCAAGCTCTGCGCCCTGTGGAAAGCAGAGATGGGCTGCTCCGACGTCGCGATGAGGTACTTGTCCAGCTCAGGCTTGTCCTTGTCCTCGACAACCTGCGGGGAGCACGCCACCGCAACGCTGCATCAGGAGCACCACCCAGGACGACAGCAGGAGGGAACTTCTGTGCCACAACCGACCGCGCCAACAACCCCGTCGCGACGACCCCGGCCCCTTCTCACCCTTGCAACTGGCCATCGCTCGGACGTCCATTCCCTGTGTTTTTCCCAACCATCCTGTGGTGTTGGGTCCTCGTTTTGAAGAGACGGTGCCCCGCGTCTCCTTCCTCCTTCCTCCTCCTCCTCCTCCTCCTCCTCCCTCCTCCCCCTCTTCCCTGCGTTTCACCCACCCAGTACAGCGTTTCGTAGCCCCATAGGAGCTCCGCCGAAGGCCCCAGTGCTGCCGTCCGCATGCGTCCCGCACACCCATTTCGGCACACCCCTCACACGTTTCGTGGCCCCATAGGGAGCTCCACCGAAGGCCCCATGGCTGCCGTCCGCATGCGTCCCGCACACCCATTTCGGCACACCCCTCACACGTTTCGTGGCCCCACAGGGAGCTCCACCGAAGGCCCCATGGCTGCCGTCCGCATGCGTCCCGCACACCCATTTCGGCACACCCCTCACACGTTTCGTGGCCCCATAGGGAGCTCCACCGAAGGCCCCATGGCTGCCGTCCGCATGCGTCCCGCACGCCCATTTCGGCACACCCCTCACACGTTTCGTGGCCCCACAGGGAGCTCCACCGAAGGCCCCAGTGCTGCCGTCCGCATGCGTCCCGCACACCCATTTCGGCACACCCCTCACACGTTTCGTGGCCCCACAGGGAGCTCCACCGAAGGCCCCATGGCTGCCGTCCGCATGCGTCCCGCACACCCATTTCGGCACACCCCTCACACGTTTCGTGGCCCCATAGGGAGCTCCACCGAAGGCCCCATGGCTGCCGTCCGCATGCGTCCCGCACACCCATTTCGGCACACCCCTCACACGTTTCGTGGCCCCACAGGGAGCTCCACCGAAGGCCCCAGTGCTGCCGTCCGCATGCGTCCCGCACACCCATTTCGGCACACCCCTCACACGTTTCGTGGCCCCATAGGGAGCTCCACCGAAGGCCCCATGGCTGCCGTCCGCATGCGTCCCGCACACCCATTTCGGCACACCCCTCACACGTTTCGTGGCCCCACAGGGAGCTCCACCGAAGGCCCCAGTGCTGCCGTCCGCATGCGTCCCGCACACCCATTTCGGCACACCCCTCACACGTTTCGTGGCCCCACAGGGAGCTCCACCGACCCCTGCCGTCCGCATGCGTCCCGCACACCCATTTCGGCACACCCCTCACACGTTTCGTGGCCCCATAGGGAGCTCCACCGAGGCCCCATGTGGCCCGTCCGCATGCGTCCCGCACACCCATTTCGGCACACCCCTCACACGTTTCGTGGCCCCACAGGGAGCTCCACCGAAGGCCCCATGGCTGCCGTCCGCATGCGTCCCGCACACCCATTTCGGCACACCCCTCACACGTTTCGTGGCCCCACAGGGAGCTCCACCGAAGGCCCCATGGCTGCCGTCCGCATGCGTCCCGCACACCCATTTCGGCACACCCCTCACACGTTTCGTGGCCCCATAGGGAGCTCCACCGAAGGCCCCAGTGCTGCCGTCCGCATGCGTCCCGCACACCCATTTCGGCACACCCCTCACACGTTTCGTGGCCCCATAGGGAGCTCCACCGAAGGCCCCATGGCTGCCGTCCGCATGCGTCCCGCACACCCATTTCGGCACACCCCTCACACGTTTCGTGGCCCCACAGGGAGCTCCACCGAAGGCCCCAGGCTGCCGTCCGCATGCGTCCCGCACACCCATTTCGGCACACCCCTCACACGTTTCGTGGCCCCATAGGGAGCTCCACCGAAGGCCCCATGGCTGCCGTCCGCATGCGTCCCGCACACCCATTTCGGCACACCCCTCACACGTTTCGTGGCCCCACAGGGAGCTCCACCGAAGGCCCCAGTGCTGCCGTCCGCATGCGTCCCGCACACCCATGCGGCACACCCTCACACGTTTCGTGGCCCCATAGCACCGAAGGCCCCATGGCTGCCGTCCGCATGCGTCCCGCACACCCATTTCGGCACACCCCTCACACGTTTCGTGGCCCCACAGGGAGCTCCACCGAAGGCCCCAGTGCTGCCGTCCGCATGCGTCCCGCACACCAGGTGTGTGGCGTGCCGACATGGGCGTCGCGGCGCGCGGGCGCTGCCGTCGGGGTTCCCAGGGAAGCCCCCTGCAGAGGCGACGCTCAGAGTCACGAGTACCGAGAGTCACGCAGACCCAAACTGTTCACAGTCGTATACATACATTTACACTGGGCGTATCCATGCACGCATTCATGCGAATAGAATCAATCGCGCGCAGATTCATTCATAATCAGACTCGCTCGCGATCCGACTCGCACGCGCTCAAGCTTTCATATTCGGACCTATCGTCTTCGTTCGTGTTGTGTACACTGCCACGCATTTCGGCACACCCCTCATACGGCTCGTGGCCCCATAGGGAGCGCCACCGAAGAAGATATTCACAAGTGCGGTACTCTCAACTGCATATGGTTGGGTCCTTCGCCAGGCTAATTTTTTCGGTTTCGTGCGTGAATTTTTCGCCAAATGATCAAGGATACTCCTCCATGGTCCTCGCCGAAGGAAAAATTCACACGTCCGAGCGATGCCAAAGCAATCGCTACCCGGGCAGCGAAGATGCCGACGCCGCCCGAACCACGAGGGGCGCGCGCGTCGCTCCACCCGACGCATCGAAACCACTCTGCTGGGAGGGCAATCTTGAAGGGGCCCCAGGACACACACATAAATACACACAAATAAAGAGATCCCCCATACTATCCCAGATCTTAGGGGTTTTCGTCTTCCCGCCCAATTCCCATATCTTCCTATATTTTCGTGGGAATCGACGATTGATTGTGTCTGTGTGTTTTTGTTCCCCTCCTGAAGTCTCCTGTGGCCGGCGAGCTGAGGTCGGGGCCACACAGGGAAGGGGGGAGCGAGTCCCAATCCAGAGTGGCTGGCGCTGAGCTCACGAACGGCGAACATATCCGTACCCGCGCCCCCGCGGTCTGGAGTCTGGGGCGCGATCCCGCGGATACGCGGTCACACGGATACGTTCCGCACGGGGCATCGTCGGATAAAAACGCCCCGTATCCGCGGGGTCGCGGCCCAGGGGCCCAGCCCGCGAGGCCGCGGATACGGATACGGTAGGTTCGTGTCGTGTCGACCCCAGCGCTGGCTCCTGACACCGCGGGGATCGTTCAGCCTTGAACGACCGGCCGTATCCGCAACGTCAGACCGTTCAACATCGACCGATTGTGGGTCGCCCGCAGCGTTCATCGCTGAACGCTGGCGGCGGCGTCGCCGCCAGTCGACACGACGCGAACCTACAATACGGTTTCGCCCACAAGCTCTTGCAATCACACGCGGCCACGGGCGGCGCACGGGGCCAGGCGCGGCAGAGCGCGAGAGGGGGAGCTGAGGGCTTAACGCCGCGCGACCCATAAAAGCAAACTCGCGTGCATCAGAGAACTCAAGCTGGTGGCCCCTGCGGTATCGACGGGTCGCCCCCTCCCCGCCTGTCTACTCCAGGTTTCGTAATAAAAGGGAGGGGGTCTCATTTCGGAGGGGGTCTCTTCCAGGCTATCTTGGAGGGCCTGGGGGGGTCTGGGGACGATGTTTTGGCGGGTTCTCCCACGGGGGAGGTCTGAAATGGCTTGTCTTGGAGGGTCCAGACCCCCTCCCTTTTATTACGAACTCTGGAGTACCCGCACACTGGTGGCCCTGGCATACTTGGCGGGTCGCCACATCCCCGCCGAGGTAAAAAATCATGAGCCCTGGCTCTCCCGTGCAGCTCTGGCCGCTCTCGGCCCTGGACTGAACCGCCTCGCGGCCTCGCTCGATCGCCTCCTCCGGCGATGCGAACTCATGAGACGCCACAACACCGCCCATCCCTGGCAGTATGAGGGCCTGCTGCCCGCTGCCCCATTCACACTCGCCGACTGCCCAAAATGCCCGCGAGAGGCCTCTGAGACGGCCCAAGAGCCCTCCGAGACGTCCTCCAGGAAACCCCAAAAGCTCGGAAACCACCTGGTCCGATAGCTCGCCCGACTCCGTGTTCTCCGAAAGCTTTTGAAACCCACTCGGGGAACGCGTGGCCCGATAGCTTGGCCAAGCTCAAGCCCAACTTTCGGCCACGAAGGCGCTTCCAAAAAGGCAGGGGGCGGCGGTGATTCGCCATGGGCGTCTTCGATCCGCCGCTCCCTGTTGGCTTGCCACAAGGGGTTGCCCGGCGTGCTGGACCCTTTCGTTTTTTATTTTAATTTCTTTCCAAAAAGAACTCTCCCCTGGGGCTCCGGCCCAGCCCGCCGGCCACCCGGAAAGGATCGCAAAGGCGCGCAAACGACCTCAACGTCCGGAAAACATCCCCCAAGACGGCTCAAGATAGCCTCCAAGAAACCGAAAATGGCTTCCAAATTCACCCAAGATGGTCCAAGATGGCCTCCAATACGGCCTAAGAGGGTCGAAGATACTGCCAAGTCCGCCCAAGAAGCCTCCAAGACGGCCCAAGACTGCCCAAGAGGTGCCCAATGCCAAGCGGCCTCCAAGACGGCCCAAGAGGCCTCCGAGAGGTCCTCCAGGAGGGCCCAACGAGGCTAAAATCAGTTGTTTTTCCTCTGGGTTTTTGGAGGTTTTTCGTATTTGCCCTTTTTCGGCCTTCGACGGACCAAGAGGCCTCCCTGATCGCCCAAGGCCCAAGATCGCCCAAGAGGCCTCCAAGATTGCCTCAGGACTTCCAAAGAGGCCCCCAAGACGGCCCCAAGAGGGTCCAAAGACGGCCCAAGAAGCATCTAAAACGCCCAAGACGGCCTCCAAGACGGCCCTGGAGCACCCCGAGAAGGCCCAGGTCGGCCCAGAGAGGCCCCGAAGACGGCTTCCGACGGCGTCAGACGGGCTAGGAGCCCACCAAGACGGCCCAAGATGGGCCTACGATTGCCCAAGACGGCCCAAGATGTCTCCAAGAGGGCCTCCAGGAAGGCTCGAAGACACCAAAATCACTGATTTCCTAAAAGTTTTTAAAGGATTTGTGCATTTGCTTCTTTTCGGCCTACTGACGGCCCGAGACGGCCCAAGAGCCCACAACGATCGCCCGAAGATCGCCCAAGAGACCTCCAAGGCGGCCCCAGAACGGCCCCCAAGACGGCCCCAAGAGGGCCCAAAGATGGCCCAAGAGGCCTCTAGGACGCCCGAGAAAGCTACTAAGGCGGCCCTGGAGCACTCCATGAAGGCCCCAAGTCGGCCCAGAGAGGCCCCCAAGACGGCTTCCGACGGCGTCAGACGGGCCAGGAGCCCACCAAGACGGCCCAAGATGGCCCTACGATTGCCCAAGACAGCTCTAGAGGCCCCCAAGAGGGCATCCAGGAAGGCCCGAAGAGACCCAAATCATTGATTTGCTGTAGGATTTTGAGGGATTTGTGCATTTGCTTTTTTCGGCCTACCGACGGCCCGAGACGGCCCAAGAGCCCTCAAAGATCGCCCGAAGATCCCAAGAGGCCCCCAAGATGGCCCCAGGGCCCAAGAGGCCCCCAAGACGGTCCCAGGGAGGGCCACAAGATGGCCCAAGAGGCCTCCAAGACGCCCAAGATGGCCTCCAAGACGGCCCTGGAGCACTCCATGAAGGCCCCAAGTCGGCCTAGAGAGGCCCCCAAGACGGCTTCCGACGGCATCAGACGGGCCAGGAGCCCACCAAGACGGCCAGATGCCCCCGAGAAGCCCCCAAAGGCCCCCAAGCCCCCAAGAGGCCCAAGGAGGCCTCCAAGATGCCTCCAAGAGGCTCCCAGGAAGCTCCCAGGCCTCAAGAGTGTCCCCAGAGGCTCCCAAGATGCCCCCTCCTCCTCCTCCTCCTCCTCCTCTTCCTCTTCCTCCCCCTCCTTCTCCTCCTCCTCCTCCTTCTCCTCTTCCTCCTCCTCCTCCTCCTCCTCCTCCCTTGTTTCCTCCTCCACATCCGCCTCTGCCTCCTCCTGCTCTTCCCCGCCATCCTCCCCCAAGTGTTCCCCGAAGGGTTTCCACAGCGATTGGGGGAACACATGGTCCGATAGCTCGGCGGAGCTCTTGCCACAACGCTCGGCCGCATGGGCGATTCTGGCAGGCAGGGGGCGGCGGTGATTCGCCGTAGGCGTCTTCGACAACCGAGGGCCTCCTCCGCCACCGTTCGCACGCGGTGGCGAACCCCGCCATATGCGCACCGGCGCTCGACCCGGCGCTCCACCCACGCACCCGTTGTCGCTGCCAGCGGTCCCCGTTTGCAAACGGGGACCGCTGGCAGCGACAACGGGTGGTTAGCGCCCGCGATCCACCACGACTCTCGCGCGAGGGAGGACCGCCAGGCGATGCCGCGATGGACCCGCCCCCCAGGGCAAGGCGGCGAGCGGCACGGACCTTGTACAGCACGTCGTCGTAGTCGTCGAGCTCGGCGGTCTTTGCCATGAGGTCCTCCGCTCGAGGGCCAAACTGGTGGGCGACCTCCCCGTCCGAGCAACAAATCTTCTGTCGGTTTCGGCCAGGGCCCGCTTCGGGCTCCGCGACGTTCAAAGCCATCCAGGACGAGAAGCCAGCCAGGACGGAACCCAGGATTGGTCCGCGAGGGTCCTGGCACCCGTTTCGCGTTTCGAGCGGAGCTTAATTGCGCCAGCGATCTCGTCTCCTCCCTCTCCTCGTCATTCTCCACCTCCTCCTCCACCTGGATCCTCCTCCGTCGAAGGCCCGAAGGGCAACAGTTGAGGGAAACCGGTTCCAGTGGGAAACATCGACATGGAATCGTCATCACATCGCCGAAAGATCGAGAGTAGGCCCCCAATAACGAAACAGCACATGCCTTGGCGGTTTGGGCTACCAGGCCCCTACCAGCACATCGGCGGTGAATAGGAGCTTGGTGGTCGCTGCAGCCCTCCGCGATCCGATCGCCATGACGAGACCGCCCGGAAACCTCAAACCCCCAGACACGCTGCCCCTGAAGGCCTTTCCCTGCACTGCGAGCCCAAACATGCGACGTCCAGATCTTTTCAAGGCGGAGTCCCTGGACATCCCGACCCTTTCCCCGAGACCCGTTTTTCATCCTGAGCCGTTGTTTGACGTCCCCGAGGCCCGGCGAAGGCCCCCCGAGGCCGAAAATGGCCCAAACCCTCCCGTCCCGACTTTTCCGAACCATCCTGCGGTGTTGGGTCCTCGTTTTGAAGAGACAGCGCCCCGAGTCCCACCCACTCACTCACTCACTCACTCACTCACCCACCCACCCACTCACTCATTCACTCACTCACTCACTCACTCACTCACTCACTCACTCACTCCTCCTCCTCCTCCTCCTCCTCCTCCTCCTCCTCCTCCCCTCCTCCCCCTCCTCCCCCTCCTCCCTCCTCCCCCTCCTCCCTCCTCCCATCATCATCATCACCATCATCAGAACCATCATCATCATCATCATCATCATCATCCTCATCATCATCATCAACATCATCGTCATCACCATCATCATCAACCCCTGCTTCATAGTCATCCTGAACATCCGTGCTGCCAGCCCCGCCCCGTTTCGGCGCACCCCTCACACGCTTCGTGGCCCCATAGGGAACTCCACGTAAGGCCCCAGTGGGAAAGTTCGCATGGCGGCCTCGCCCCATGTCGGCACACCCCTCACACGTTTCGTGGCCCCATACGAAGCTCTACCTAAGCCTCAGAGGGAAAGGTTGCATGGCGGCCTCGTCCCATTTCGACACATCCCTCACACGATTCGTGGCCCCATAGGGAACTCCACCTAAGGCCCCAGAGGGAAAGGTTGCATGGCGACCTCGCCCCATGTCGGCACAACCCTCACACGTTTCGTGGCTCCGTAGGGAGCTCCACCTAAGGCTCCAGAGGGAGAGTTCGCATGGCGGCCCCGCCCCATTTCAGCACACCCGTCACGCGTTTCGCGGCCCCATAAAGAGCTCGAGCTAATGCCCAACGTGGCCCCTATTGGGGGCTCCACCGAAGGCGCCAGTGGCACGGTTCGCACGGCGGCCCTGGCCCATTTCGGCGCATCCATCACGCGGTTCGTGGCACCATAAGGAGCTCCACCGAAGGCCTTGGTCGCAGGGTTCGCATGGCATCCCCGCCCCATTCCGGCGCACCCTTTTTACGAGGATCGTTGCCCCATAGGGAGCTCCACCGACGGCGCCAGTGGCAGGCTTTGCGTGGCGGCCCCGCCGCATGTCGGCGCACCCCCCACACGTGCTGCTCTCGCGCGCCAGGCGCCACGAGGACCTCCTGCTCATGAGGGCGCCGCGCATCGAATTCTTCCTCGCAGGGCCGCCGGAGGGCTTGCGGAAACAGCTGGGGCAGTTTGCGGCGAGCACGAAGCGCTGCTGAAGGGAGGCGACGGCCCTTGCCAAGGTGTTGGGCTTCACCGAGTTTATCCGCGAGGCCTGAACTGAGGAGCGTCCCGCCCGAGCCGCGCCTTCTCTACTGTCCAACTAGTTCTTTGGCCTCGCGCCGCGGACGACCAGCGCGCGTCGCTGGGACCCTCTCGGGGCGACCGGCGCGCGCGCGTCGCAGGAGCTCCGAACGGCGTGCCCGGCGTCGCTCTGACGAGCGGCCAAAGCCTTGCCGCTATCAGCCAGCCAGCCAGCTCTCTGTGCTCCGCGAAACGGATGACCCGCGCGCGTCGCTGGGACCCCTTCGGGGCGACCTGCGCGCGTCACAGGAACTCCGCGCTGCGCTGCGCCCGCAGCCTCGGACTTTGGAGTGCGCGGACGAAGAGGGAGGACAAGCAGAGAAGGAAGCGGGCGCGATCCTCGTGAGGGGCTGCCGACATGGGCGTCGCGGCGTGCGGGCGCTGCCGTCGGAGTTCCCCGGGGAGCTCCCTGCGGCGGCCACACTCAGTGTCAGGAGTACTCAGAGCCAGGCATGCCCGAACGATTCGCATTCATATACATTCACACCAGGCGTAGCCGCGCTCGCATTCATGCTAATATCTTCATTCGCACACCACCTCGTTCACACTCAGACTCATTCGCGCTCAGACTCACCAGTGCCCAGTCTCTCGCAAATTCGACTTGTCGTCTTCGGTCGTGTTGTGCCGTGTACCCCGCCACACAGTTCGGCACACCCTCATACGGTTCGTGGCCCCACAGGGGCCGCCACCGAAGAAGACCTTCGCAACTGCGGTCCTCACAGCTGCATATGGTTGGGGGTCCTTCGCCAGGCTACTCCAGATTTCGTAATAAAGGGAGGGGGGTCTCATTTCGGGGGGGGGTCTCTTCCAGGCTATCTTGGAGGGCCTTGGGGGGGCCTGGGGACGATGTTTTGGAGGGTTCTCCCACGGGGGGGGGGGGGGTCTGAAATGGCTTGTCGTGGAGGGCCCAGACCCCTCCCTTTTTATTACGAGATCTGGAGTAGGCAGAGGAGGAGGAGGAGGAGGAGGGAGGAGGAGGAGAGGAGGGAGAGGAGGAGGAGGAGGAGGAAGAGGAAGGAGGAGGAAGAGGAGGGAAAGGAGGAGGAGGAGGAGGAAATTTTACGAAATCTGGAGTAGTTTTTACGACGCCATCCACGCCTGGGAAGCGGGGCTCGCCTGCTGCGCCGCCCCGCAGGGTGGGTCCTGGCCTCCGTCTCCGCACACGTGGCCGCCCGAGCTCGCCCACCGAGCCAAGGAGCGGGGAGAGGGGACGACAGGGCAGCGCGTCGCGCCCGCAGGGGGAGGAGGAGGAGGAGGAGGAGGAGGAGGAGGAGGAGGAGGAGGAGGAGGAGGAGGAGGAGGAGGGGGAAGAAGGAGGGAGAGGAGGAGGGGGGAAAAAAAGGAGGGGGAGGAGGCGGAGGAGGAGGAGGAGGAGGAGTATGAGGATGAGGATGAGGATGAGGAGGAGGAGGAAGAGAAAAAGAAGGAGGGGGAGGAGGAGGAGGAGGAGGAGGAGGAGGAGGATGAGGAGGAGGAGGAGGAGGAGGAGGAGGAGAAGGAGGAGAGATCCGCACGGGCCGACGGCTAGATGACCCCCGCTGGAGCAGATCCACCGCACGCGCTCCAGGATCCAAGGCAAGAGAGGAGGGGAGTGTAAGGATTGGAAGCTGGGCGAAGGCTGGCGAATCCGTGGCTGTAAAACCGCCTCCCCAAAAGAAAAAACAGATTCCCAGAATCAAGCTCCGCGCAGTAAGTTTGAAACGGGCTGCTTCCCGGAAGAAGAACAAATTCCCGGAGCTCTGTTTTAGCCGCCACGGGTTAGCCAGCCTTCGCCCGGCTTCTGAAAGGAAGAGAGCGAGAAAGGAGAGGAGGACAGAGGTGGGAAAGCTGCCAGCCCCTGCTCCTGCAACGAGACCGATGTCTCTCCCGTCTCCCCCCTTCGGGGCGACGCAGAACTCGGGTTCGGGGGACTCGGGCTGGCCTGACGGGGCCGTCCTGAAAATGACGGGACCAAGTCTTAACTCTGACGCGAGCTCCCGCGGCAGAGATCCCACGAAAACCAGGCCGTCGAAACCCGGGGCGGGCTCGTCCAGAAAGCGTCGGCACGCCCCGAGCTCTGGCGCACTCGAACCGTACGTATTTCCCCGACCCTTTCCCCCCCTTGGGAAGGGAAGGGGGCGGGGGGGAGGAGGAGGAGGAGGAGGAGGAGGAGGAGGAGGAGGAGGAGGAGGAGGAGGAGGAGGAGGAGGAGGAGGAGGAGGAGGAGGAGGAGTGGGAAGGGCGGGGGGGAGGGGGGGGGGCAGCACCAAGCGACACGCCGCCGTGGCCCGCCTGGCAGAAGGCTGGCCCCCTGCTTCGGCCAGGCCCTGAGCAGCAGGGCACGGTCCTGTTGCTCCGCGCGTGCGCGCGCGGGACTGGCGACCTCCGATCCACACAAAACAGCATCCCTGACCCTGTGGGAGGGGGCCTAAGTTGGGAGGGCCACAACCATCAGGTATAAGGGGGGTTCTTTTCTGCAGATGCATCAGAACAAGCCGCCCAGATATATTACCCCGAATGCGAAGACGGGAACCTCAGTGAGGCCACGTCTTCATCGTGTTATCAGGGTCAAGGGTTCTTCTGCTCTCGCTGAACCTCCAACCAAACTGGTGAGTAAATCAATGACGCAGCCCGAACGTGCCCCTTGCGCCGCGGACAAGGCACCCAGAGCTGCCGCCATCCGAAAGTACAGGAGCCCAGGGACGCACAAATGCATACACACAAATCCCAGGATTCCTCACATGTTCCCATATTTTCTGGGTGTTCGTCTTCCCCCCATTTCCCACATTTTCCAACACTTTCCTGGGAGTCGACGATTCATCGTGTCTGTGTGCTTCTTTCCCTCCTGAGACAGGGCCCGGTCCTTCTTCATGAAGAATGGCGGCTGGACGGGGGTGTAGCCCCGCTTATGCAGGAACGCGATGCCGTAGTTGATCAGCGCCTCGGGGGCCCCACCGTCGCTGGGGCGCAGCACTTATGAGCGTGCTCCCTCCATGAGGTAGAACGAGGAGCGGGGGGGGGCAACCATGATAGGAGGAATAAGACGAGGGAGAGGTAGGACTACTACGATTTAGGACACGAGAGCGAGAGAAAGCGAGAGAGAGAGAGAGAGACCGACTCATACATCTATACATCGAGAGATCATGAGAGATGACGCAACATGAGATACTGATAACGAACACCGCATGGAGGAACAGAGAGACAGTTAGTATCGTGTATGTATATCTGCACATGCATGGCAAGAGAAAGAGAAAGAGAGAGAGGGAGACTGGGAAAACAAAAAAACAATATACACAGAGAGAAAAGGCAGAGGGGGGGCAGAGAAGGGCATGGGAAGGGAGAAACTTTAGAAGGGCTGGGCAGTGAGAGACAGAGAGGGAAAGGAAAGAGAGAGAGAGAGAGAGAGAGAGAGAGAGAAAAATAACGAAACACATAACGAAAGAGGAATAGAGAAATCCGTGTATATACAGGGATATGATGAGCGAGAAAGAGGCAGAGAGAGAGAGAAAGAGAGACAGAGAGAGAGAGAGAGAGACAATGACAGGCAAAAAAGAAAGAACGAGACAGAGAGAAAGAGATAGATAACAAACAAGCAAACACCTCGGACAACACTGCATCGAGCAGCAAGCACGCGCACACGCAGGATGAAATTCCGCCCCCTCGAAGCTCTTCCACTCCTGGATCAAGACGCAGCTCGGTCGAACACCGTGACCTCTTCCTTCCCCTCCTTCCAGTTGCACAAGATGGAATGAACAGCGTACCCCCCTTGGAACACGGAGCGAACGCTTATGAAACGAACGGCCCCCCACCCCCCAGAGTTCAAATGTTTCCGTTCTTCGCGACGCCCGCCGCTCGCACTGGCGTTCCGCAGGATCGCTCTGGCTGGGTGCCTGAGCTTGAGGCCTCCTGGAGGCGTCCTGGGGGCCTCCTGGGAGCTTCTCGGGGCACTTTGGGTGCTTGCTGGCAGGCTCAGGCGCCATTGAGGTTTGGGGAGGACCCTGGGGCCCCTTCGTGTCTCCCGTCTTCGAGGCCTCTTGGGCGTTCCTTGGATCTCTCTGTCGGCAGCTCGGGAGCCGCAGAAGGTGACCTTGTGAGCCATTTTGGTCCGTCATATACGGGCCAGTGGAACATACATAGGATTTCGCAAACAAATATAGGACTTAAAATACATGATAAATCTATGGATGAAATCATGCATGAACTCATCGTTGTTTTGAATTCTGAACCCCTGCACTTTTAGTACATGTTCCGCACGCGGAGCATGTACTAAAAACGGCACTGTACGCTGTTGAGGAGGAGGAGGGGGAGGAGGAGGAGGAGGAGGAGGAGGAGGAGGAGGAGGAGGAGGAGGAGGAGGAGGAGGAGGAGGGAGGAGGCGAGGAGGAGGAAGGAGGAGGAGAAGAGGAGGAGGAGTAGGAGGAGAAGGAGGGGGAGGAGGAGGAGGAGGAGGAGGAGGAGGAGGAGGAGGAGGAGGAGGAGCCAAGCAAACGTCAAATCTTGCCCGCTGGCCCCGGCTGCTTGCGGGGACCTGGGGCCTCCCAGAGGCGGCCCAGGCTGCCTCGGAGAGGGGCCTCGGACGACCACCGGGACCACAGCAGAGGGCATGCTGCGAGCTTGGAGCCCGAGCCACGCGCCCGATGCCTCTGGGAAAGGGCTGAAGCTGAAAAGTGTTGTTCGTTTCGCTTTGTCTTCGATTTCCCTCGCGGTTGTCTCGGATCCGCCTTGGCCGCAAAACGATGTCGAAACGAAAAGGGCCCACGAAACCGCCAAAAAACACCGCTTAGGTCCAAGAGCGTCCGGAGGCGCCTGGGGTAATCGGCGAATGGGGGTCTGCGGCCATGGGCGAGCACGGGCAACGTTTAGCACGAAGTCGGGCGTGTCCCCCTACAGGCGGATTTTGGGCGAACGACGAGAAATACTTAAAACAAATGCTTCAGCGTAGTCAAACTTTTTTTGGTCGGCGGGTCGAGAGCGAGCCTCTTCCGGTTAAGAGCTAGGCGGGGTGCGCGAAGCACTAGTTGGGGAGACAGGGCGCGGGCGGGCGGGGCCTCAGGCGGCCGGAGGGAGCGGGGTACAGGCGGTGCCGAAGAGCTTGCACAGAAAAAGGTACGCCTTGGACAGGAGCCGGGGGCGAAGTCCTGGAGAAAGAGCGAAGTGGTGTTGCCGTCAACGGCGCGCCAGGGTCACCATCCTCGAGTGGTGCGTAGGGAGGGCCGTGACCAGGTCGAAGCCCGTGAGGAAGAGGAAGACCAGATAGGCGAAGTGCACCAGGTGCCACCGACTGGTAAGGAGAGGCCCAGGAGATGAGGAAGACCACGAAAGCGGTGTGCAACGTTGTGCCACTGGGTGGTCGGTGGCGGCCTGGGGTGGTAGTCCAATCCACGTCCAGGTAGCAGCTAACTAAGAGGTTCGGCCTGCAAGCCGACTGTGTCCGCCTGCCGCGGGCCGGGCCTGAGCCGCGCTGCCCAGGGTGAGCGAAGCGTAATCAAACAATCGTCAAACAACAAATCGTCTCCTGGCTATTTTTTGACGAGTTTTGAATATTCCTCCTGTCGAAGGACGCGCCCGACTGAAGTTTGGCATCGAAGCTCCTGTAGGGCCGTGCTAGAAGGGCGGTCCGGACGCCTCGCCCGAGACCTCCGCACAACTCAAACATGGTGACAGCACTGGGGCCTCCCATGATTTGGCCGAGCGCGCTCCACTACTCGCAAAGTGCCTCCTACTCGCAAACGTCAGAAACAAAAAACACCTGTCTGCTTTGATGTGATGTATCGTAGATCCCCCGCGGGGGGTCCAGGCCATTTGCGAGTAGTTACTTTGCGAGTAGTGGAGCACGCTCGCCGATGCTTGACACACACACACACACACAGACGGGCGCGTGCTTCCCTAGAAGGCATCGCCGCGCGCACTCGACCTACAAACCTGCACCAGCTGCGCGGATGGAAAAAAACAGGTGCATTCAGCGTGCGACTTGCATGGTGATGCCGCGCAACATCGCCCTCAGAAGCTCCAGGCAGATCCACGGCTTAAAACATGTATAACGTTATGTCAATGTACCGCCGCGCACCTTCGCCATATGACCTTTCTTAAAAAGGCGGTGCCTGTTCAAAATGGGAGCTCCGCCTTGGAATTCTCCGAATTATATCATCAGAAACCTCGATCACGCCAAAGATTGCACGGATGGATGACGACTGCTTTTAGAAATCGAACTCACGCCAGGAACTTCATTGTGTTCGATGGCTCGAATGCAGGCAGTCTGCAGCAGATGCCCAGATGTAGGGCAAGTCATGTTCAACGAGTTGTCTTGTGACGCACACTTACGGGTTATGACACAAGCGCACAAACTCCCGATCAGCTACGCGGACGAGCGACGACGGATCTGTGGCCTGAGACGCCCTGAGACTTTGTGGTGGTAACGCCTGGATGCTCCAGTATATGCACGGATTGAGGGCGTGCCGCGCAGATATTGCAACAGCCTATGCCGGCGACATGGGGTCGGTGGTAGGTGGCATATAGTCATTTATTTATCAAGCCCATTCGATGTTATAACACAAGTCGGTAACATAGCACAACAACCACGGTTATACTCTCACCATGCACGTTCATGATGAACGCCCTCGCCGTGTTGAAGGAAGCAACTGTTGTCATTGGCTTTCGGGGAGAAGGCTTGTGATGGGAGCGTGTATTGCGGCATCAGTGGTGTGCGCTGGGTTGGTTCAAGTCCTCCATCTCCACCCCCCCTCCCGCTGCCCGCCCCTGATCCCCCAATTCCTCCTCCATGTTCTCCTTCTCCTCCTCCTCCTCCTCCTCCTCCTCCTCCTCCTCCCCATCCTCCTCCTCCCCGACCTCCTTTTCCTCCTCATCCTCCTCCTACATAACCCTCCGCCCCCTCCGCGTCCTCCATCTCCCCCTCCCCCTCGTCGTTGTTGTCGTCTTCCTCCTCCCCACCCCCTCCCCCGCCCCTTCGCTGTGGTCGCACTCCTGCCCCGCCCCCTCCCCCTCCCCTTTTGCCGTCGTCGTTGTCCTCCTCCTCCTCCTCCTCCTCGCCTCCTCCTCCTCCTCCTCCTCCTCCTCCTCCTCCTCCTCCTCCTCCTCCTCCTCCTCTATCCCCTCCATCCCCCCCACCCGTCTCCACGCCCACTGCACCCCCCCCCCACTCCCCTCGTCTCCCCCTGCCGAGGGCGGGAGCCCGGGCCCCGGGGGACCCGCCAGCCTGGCCGGAGCCTGGGCAGGAAGAGGGCAGGGAGAGGGGCTGGCCGCCGCCCCATGGGGCCAGCGGCGGATGGTCGGGGGGGGGGGGGCCAGGCGGCCGTGGCCGAATCGAGATCGGGGCGGGGAGGGGGGCAGGAGGAGGAGAGAACAGGAGGATCGGGAGGAGGAGAGGAGGGAGGAGGAGAGGAGGGCGGAGGAGAGAGAAAGGAGGACGGGGAGGAGGAGGAGAGAGAGAGGAGGACGGGGAGGAGGACGGGGACAAAGGGGAGCCACTGGACGAGGAGCACGGCTCACCCGCCATGCGCAAGCGATGCCACACGACACCCGCCCCCCTCCCAGGTCGTCCCCTTCACGGGCCCCCCCGGCCCCCTCCCCCGGCACTGCTCTTCGCGGCGGGGCCGCGGGCCTGCCCACCGGGCGCGGGGGCCACGGCTGGAACGGAGCCAGCCCCCTCCTCTCTTGAACGAAGGATTGCAAAAAAAAGGATTGCAAAAAAACGAAGGATTGCAAACAAAAAAAAAAAAGGATTGCAAACAAAAAAAACAGGATTGCAAAAAAACCCTTCGTTCAAGTGAGGGCGGGGGGGCACGATTTGTTGCCCCTCCCGGCGGCAGAAGCAGCAGTCATCCAATACAGTGGGAGGTGCCAACAGGTAGAGTTAAGTCGGGCCTGTCCCACTGCAGGGGGAATGTTCGACGAATAATAAAACAATACCCCCAAAACATGCACCCAACAGGTCCAACGATGCTCAAAAGATAGTCCCCAGACCATGTTTGGATCAGGTTTGGATTCTGTTGGGGGTATGTTTGACTTTTCGTCGGAAATCCCCCCTGGAGGGGGACAGGCCCGACATGAAAGGTGGAGCGAGGACGCGCTCCAGGGCCCCGTTTTGAGAGTAGAACCACCCTGCGCGGTTGATAGTCAAGCCCTGCACACAGCTCAAGTAGGACTCCCAGTTTGAAACAGACCACCCTCCATTCGTGCAGCTGCTGAGCACGGCAGAACGAGCGAGACCGAACTGTTCATGCTTGAGAACGCCCCCCTCCCTCCGTGTAAGTACTGGGGACTAGTTGAAGACTGTGAGCAGCGCTGGGGCGAGAACCGCATGTTGAAACATCGCCCTACGTTCGACTGTTGAACAGGAAGTGCAGACATAACACAAGCCCGGCACATCGACGCGGTTGTTGCTCCAGGGGCAGGGGCGGCATAACCGATAAGAAAATATCAGGCGACAGGCCTGGCCCGCCATGCCAACGCGCCTGGTGGTGCGACGGAAACGAAGTGTGCGAAGGTGCGACTAGGGAGGAGGGGTGGATGAGGAGGAGAGGGAGGGGAGCAGAGGAAGAGAGGGAGGATGAGGGAATTGGAGGGATGGAAGAGATATGGAGGAGAGGGGAGAGGAGGAGGAGAAGGACATGGATGAAGAGGAAGAAGAGGGGGGCGGAGGACCTAGGAGGAAGAGGAGGGCGAAGAGGATCCATGAGGGGAGATGAGAATGAACGGCGGGGGATGAAGAGACGAACTACTGTCGCGGCCCCTGGAGGCCGCGACAGCCGTTACCCCCTGTGGCCGAGACAACAATGAATGCTGGTCCCCGGAGGACCAACCACCATCACGGCCTGTGCCCATCGGAGAGCGCACCCTGAGTTAACGTTGGCCTCGCACCACATCGGTGTTTTGCCTCAGCTGTGGCTGCATCGGCTCACTTCGCTGGCGCTGCCTCATGGATGATACTCCTGACATTCCTCCTCCATCCGCTCTCCAAATCTGCCCCTCCTCCTCCTCCTGCACATTCCCCCCTCCTCTTCCCCCTCCACCCCCCTCCTCTTATTCCACCTTCTCCTGGTCTCGTTCCTCCATCGGCTGAGCTACGGCATCCTCCTCCGCCCTTCCTCCTCCTCCTCCTCCTCCTCCTCCTCCTCCTCCTCCGCGTGCTCCACCACCTCCCCGTCCGTCCATTGTTCTTCGGCCTCTCCGTCATCGCCCTTTTCCAACTATGTTTCATGATCATCGTCCCTCCCACCCATGGTGACATGCCTGGTTCAACAACACCCCCGGGCCAGTGAGGAAGTAGCCGCGGTTTCCGGCAACATCGTTGCCCGCAGCGAACTCCACGGCACCAATCATCTCCTGGCAGATCAATAATTACCCTCCTCTCTCCTTGCCGCATCCGAAGATGCCCCTGGTAAGGCACAAGTTTGTCCCACAGCACACAAAGCTTCCGATTCGCGATAGCGTGAGACAGCTCGTACTCCTGAAAAAGTTAATAACCTGGCCGATGTGCTTTTGACCAGTAACAAGCAACCACAGGCGCTCACAGGCGCCCGAAAGCGCTCCCAGAGGCCCGCTGCCAAAGGCACGCACAGGCGTGCACAGGGGCCAACAAGCGCCGACATACTATGACCAGCAGCCGCCCTCAGTGACCGACAAGCTTCCACAAGCGCCATGGGGTGTCGGCAAACGACCTCAGGCGCTCACAGGCGCTCGTAATCGCCCACAGGCGTCCAGAAGCAATCAGATGCGCTCATAAACGCTCACCTAGCGCCAATTCGCCGGCCCAACGGGCCAGAGGCGTGCTAAGATCTCCGGTAACTACTTAACAATTAGTATTTCTAATTCGCGCGCGCGGGGCGGCCCCTGGGGGCCCCCGGACGAAAAGTACCCCGGCTGATCCCTGGCCGGGTCCTGGGCGATCCCCAGGGGGGAGGCTATTTTTCGCCACCCCTCACGAGGATCGTGGCCTCCGAGGGGGTGGCTGCAATCGACTACCCCCCTCCCGCCCCAAGGGGCCCCCAAGAGCCCCCTAAGAGGCCCCAGGGGAGCCCAAGATGCCGCCAAGGAGCCCCAAGACGCTCCCAAGAAGCCCCCAAGAGGCCCCCAAGACGGCCCCAAGAGGCTCCAAATAGCGCTCCAGTGCCGGCGGAATGAGCGAAGCGATTGAATAAGCACATGCTAGCGCTCACACCCGTCGTATGCGTCTTCGACCGCTGCATGCTCACAATGTCTTCCCTCTCCCCGGCCTGACCTTGCCCTCGTCCCCCCACGTCACTGGCGATTACAAACCCTCGTATGCCCGCACAGGCATTCACAGGCGCCAGCAAGCTCCCAAAAGCGCTCACAAGCGCTGGCGGGCGACCCCTACGTGGACCCCCCGAGGTCCTGGGAGGCACAACAACGAACACGTCAGATCATTGAGACAGTATTACCAGATGTTCGAGGAACTTGCTATTCAAGTTTCAGGGGGGAGGAGGGAATGACTGGGGACCCGCATACCATTACCCGACGCGCAGGACCTTGACGCAGAGAATTTTAGCTGTTCCCCTTCTCGGTGGGACTGGCCGGTTGGGTGCGAGAAGGCCTGACTGTAAATGCTCCTTTGTGTGACTGAGCATGCGTGACTGCGCGTGCGTAGATCTAGGTATGAATCGGTATGAAGTGGGTCTGCATACAAGCATGGAAATGAATGGGTCTGCGAGCGAGTGGGCGTGAGTAGATAAGAGTGGATTCGAGTGGATCCCAAGATGAGCGAGCCAGGTCTGGGTGGACCAATGTGAATCTGTGAAAATACAAGAGAGACGGAATACGAGCGGGTCTTGTTTGGAAAGGCTCTGAGTGCGGGTGCGTATGATTGTGAATGCGCTCAGGGTGCGCATGGATCTGAGCACGAGTTCTCCTGAATCGGGATGACTCAGATCGGGAGCGAATTTGAATATGAACGATCCGACTTGGACGGGGCGGATGAGACCGTCGGAAATCGAGTGGATCCGACTGCGGGTGAGTCTGAGCAGTGGTGAGGGCACCCTGAGGCCTTGGGCCCTCCCAGGGCTTCCCCTGGAGCCTCCTACGGCTTCACGGGGGCATCCTCGGGGGCATCTCATGCTTCCCGGAGCCTCTGGCATCGTCCTGGAGCCTCTTGGGTGCTGGGGCTTCCCGAGGCGTCCTGGAGCCCTCTGGGGCCTCCACGGACTCTCATATTGCGCCCTGGACCTCGAGGAGGGCGAAGACAAGGGCGAGAGGAAGCAGGAGCAGAGGGAAGAGGGCACGTTGACCTCACCAAGGATTCACGAACACTGCAATTCGACTTCAAACCTCTCGACAATCTGGGCGCGGACAGGCTGGTGCACCACCCCTGGTCGACTTCCCCTTCGGAGGCCCAACTGCGATGCCTGCCACCTCGCGGTGATCCTGGGGCTCTGAACAAGAGGTCCACCCTGCACGACACAACCATTCTACCTGATCCAGTACGATGCTGACTACCTACCAGACCACCCCAACCCAACCCGAAGACCCGAATTTCGGGTTGGGGGGGGTAAGGGTTCCACATGTGTTTTTGTCGATGTTCCCCGACCCCCCCCCACTGAAAATCGAGGGTAAATCTGAGCCTTCGGGTTGGGTTGGGGTGGTTTGGTGGGTGGTGAGATGCCCTCCGCATCGCGATGGCCATGGGGCTCTGCGAAACGACCCGCGTGCGTCCAGCCGCTCGACTGCCGGACGGGCCCCGCAAGCCCGGCGAGGACGGGCCTGCGCAGCAGCCCGGGTAGCCACACGCCCCCCTGGGATGTGCGAGCCCCGAGCGCGACGCCTGCCACGTCGCGGCGGCCATGGAGCTCTGAAGATGACCACCTACCAGACCACCCCAGCCCAACCCGAAGACCCGAATTTGAATCGAACTTCGGGTTGGGGGGGGTACGTGTTCCATATGTTTTTTCAGTGTTCCCCGACCCCCCCCCCACTGGAAATCGAGGATAAATTTGGGCCTTCGGGTTGGGTTGGGGTGGTTTGGTGGGTGGTGAGAAGAGAGACGTCCGAAAACTGGCGTTCCACCCGAGCGGCCCCAGCAACCTGGGCGCGAACGAGCCTGCGGAGCATCCCGGGTCGACGATCCCCTTCGGAAGCCCAGGCGCAGGGCCTGCCGCATCGCGGTGGTCAGGGGGCTCCGACAAGAACCTCGTCTACGTCTGCAAGCTCGCGCTCGATCTGGAGTTCCAGACAATCTGGGCTTAGATCGGGACTGTCCTCCTACAGGCGGACTTTGGAAGAAACATTGAAGGCTATGTCTTGAATATGCTTGAGTATCTGTAGAAGGACACGCCCGACTTGAATCTAGGCGCGACCGGGCCAGTGCAACACCCCTGGTCGACACACCCCCGTGGGAGGCCCGGGTGCGACGCCAGCCACGGCGTGACCACAGCAGTGCCCTGAGGAGAGACACGCCGATGCCATGCGCGACGACTCCGCAAACGCACCCGCTGGACCACTCTCTGCTCGCACCGCGCGGAGCATGCCGCGCCGCGGGGGCCCCGGCCGCAGAAAGCAGACGGCCCCGCCGGCGCAGCCCCCGCCGCCCCGGACTCCGGACCCCTCCGAGCGGGCGCCACGTGGGGGCGAAGAGCGAGGGAGGAGCGAGGGAGGAGCGAGCGAGGAGCGAGCGAGGGAGGAGCGAGGGGGAAGCGAGGGAGGAGCGAGGGAGGAGCGAGGGGGGAGCGAGGGAGGAGCGAGGGAGGAGCAAGGGGGGGGCGAGGGAGGAGCGAGGGGGGAGCGAGCGAGGAGCGAGCGAGGAGCGAGGGGGGAGCGAGGGAGGAGCGAGGGAGGAGCGAGGGGGGAGCGAGGGAGGAGCGAGGGAGGAGCGAGGGAGGAGCGAGGGGGGAGCGAGGGAGGAGCGAGGGAGGAGCGAGCGAGGGGGGAGCGAGGGAGGAGCGAGGGAGGAGCGAGGGGGAAGCGAGGGAAGAGCGAGGTCGCGACCAGGCCGAGCCACCGGTCGCGACGTCGCCCACGGGCTGCGTGCGCCGCCCTTCTCCCGCCCTCCCTCCCTCCGCAGCCGCCCTCCTTCTGCTCCTCCTCCTCCTCCTCGCCTCCTTCTCCCCTCGTCCCCCCTCCTTCTGCCTCCTCCTCCTCCTCCTCCTCCTCCTCCTCTCCTCCTCTCCTCCTCCTCCTCCTCCTCCTCCTCCTCCTCCTCCTCCCCTCCTACTCCTCCTCCTCCTCCTCCTCCTCCTCATCCTCGTCCTCCTCCTCCTCCTCCTCCTCCTTCTCCTCCTCAATCCTCCTCCTCCTCTCCCTCCTCCTCCTCCTCCTCCTCCTCCTCCTCCTCCTACACATCCTCCTCCTCACTACTCCTCCTCCTCCTCCTCCTCCTCCTCCTCCTCCGCGTCCTCCTTCCTCCTCCTCCTCCTCCTCCTCCTCTCCCTCCCTCCCTCCCTCCCTCCCTCCTCCTCCCTCCCTTCCCTCCCTCCCTCCCGTCCTCCCTCCCGCCCTCTCCCTCCCTCCCTCCCTCCCTCCTCCCTCCCTCCTCCCTCCCTCTCTCCCTCCCTCCTTTCGCCTCCTCCTCCTCCCCTCCTCCTCCTCCTCCTCTCTCCTCCGCCTCCTTCCACCTCCTCCTCCTCCTCCTCCCTCACTCCTCCCTCCTCCCCCTCCCTCCCTCCCTCCCTGCCCTCCCTCCCGTCCCTCCCTCCCTCCCTCCTCCTCCTCCTCACTCCTCCTCCTCCCCCCTGTGCCTCCCTCCCTCCTCCCTTCCTCCCTCCCTGCCTCCCTCCCTCCCTCCCTCCTTCCCTCCTCCTCCTCCTCCTCCTCCTCCTCCTCCTCCTCTCCTCCTCCTCATCCATTCCTTTTCCTCAGAAGCAACTTCTCCCTGTCACACCCCGAGGCCTGTGTTTACGGGGGGCCGGGCGTTTCGCCTGAGACTTCCTCACCACTTGTGACTCTGAAGCTTAAGCATTGGCAACAACTTCACACATGGAGGGCGGGTCGTTTTCAAAACGTGGCTCTCGCCGTAGCGCCGCGCACATTCGTTTTGAGCATACAAGAGTTTTAAGTCTCGACGGCGACCAATGTTCAAAATGTGTCTCTCGCCTTAGCGCCATGCACCTTCGTTTGCAAAAGTTACAAGAACTTCACGGCTTGAGGGCGACTCGCTTTCAAAACGTGGCTCTCGCTGTAACGCCGCGCACATTCGTTTCAAATGTGCAGGGTCTTCGCATATTGAAGGCGACCCGCTTCCAACATGTGGCTCTGGCCTTCGCGCAGCGCATATTCGTTTTCAGAACTTGCAAGAGCTTCACAGATTGAGGGCGGTTCCTCTTCAACATGTGGCTCTCGCCCGCGCGCAGCCGTCTTCAAAAATTACACGGTTTTCATATATTCCCATGATCAGCGTACCAGAAATAGTGTTTTGGAAGGGTTCAGGATTACGCGGGTGCAACAGTTACAGTGGTTCGCGGGGGTGAAGTCCCAAGAACGGCTCTGGCACGACTCAGGATCGTCAAGACGCAACAGTCAGAATGATCCGTGGCGTTGGCATCCCGAGAGCAATGTTTTGGCATGCTTCAGGGTCCTCACGCGGTTGTCTTCCAACGGGGCAGTTCCCTCAATGGACAGGAGCCGTTGTAGGGGCCTATGACATGAAGAGGGAGCTTGGAGGGAGGGTTTACTCCAACATCGTTGATGGCTCTTGGGTCGCACTGATACTCCTCCTCCTCCTCCTTCTCCTCCTCCTCCTCCTCATCTTCCTCCTCCGCCTGTTCCTGCCTCTCCATCCTCCCTTTTTCCCCCTCCCCCCCCCGCCTCCTCCTCCTCCTCGTCATCCTCCTCCTCCTCCTCCTCCCTGCCTCCCTGCCTCCCTGGGCACCCTTCGCACGGCAGCGCCCCCCGATCGGGCCACGGGCCTGGTGCGCGCCCGCCGCCGCTGCGACGGAACAACAGCAGGCAAGGGCTCCCAACTTCGCGCTTCGCGCTGCGCGAAGTGCGAAGAACTTCGCGCTCGCGCGCCGCCCCCCAGGGGAGAAGAGGAGGATGGAGGAGGAATCGGAGCCGAATCGCGAAGCGCGAATATAACTTCGCGCCCTCGAGGGCGCCCTTGAGAAAGCGGCCGGTGTCGACGGTGGCGCCTCCCCTCCCCGACCTTGCCGTCGCTCGGACGTCCATTTCCCGTGCATGTTTCGGTCTCGTGCGTGTCGTTTTGCTCGATGGTCCAGGATGGTCATCGGTGGTTCTCGCCGAGAAAACATGCACACGTCCGAGCGGTGCCAAGCGACCGCGACGGAGGCCTCGCGGGGGGCGAGCGCGAGGCCAAGCAGAGCAGCGCCACGGCCCTCGTGCCGTCAGAGGGCACGCCGAGCGAGGAACGGAAAGGGCCCTGCCCGAACTCCAGAGTTCGGTGGCAATTCGTGGGAGCCTCCCATACCACGTTGCCGGTCTTTGCGAATCGACGCTGCTCGACGCTAGTCGACGCTAACCGACGCTAAGTCGACGCACGCCAACGCTAAATCGACCCTAAACCGGCGCGATCTCATCGACTGCCAGACGCGAATCGACGCTACCCTGACCTTCCAGGAGGGCAGCAAAAGTAGCACCCGACTAAAACAACCTATCCAAAAGCTTTTATACGTCTTGTTTTTAGGCTGTTTCGCTCAGCTTTTCAGGTTTTTAAGCCTCCAGTGCTTAAAAATAGCTCTCTGGAAGGTCAGGGTAGTCGACGCCAGTCGACAGAACTGTGATGGCACGCAAGGCCCCTCAATGATCCGCTACCGGACTGCCGAGGCCAGAGTGGTCCCCGTTCCAGCGCCTGGGCTGCACGGCGCGAAGTAAGGAATCGAACCTGGCCATCGCTCGGACGTCTACTCCCTGTGCTTTTTTCGGTTTCGTGCGTGGTTTTTTCCGCCAAATGATCAAGGATGCTCCTCGATGGTCCTCGCCGAAGGAAAAATGCACACGTCCGAGCGATGCCAAGGAACTCTATACACCGACACTTTTTCCGGCCCTGCATTGAAATTCGCACAGGAACGCGGATCTTGGTGTATACGGGATCCTGGTGTAGACATGTTTCGCTGCTTCCACGGGGCATCGGGGGACAAAAGTATACAATCACACCACCCCGACGTCGTCCCCGACCCCCCCAAAAAAGGCGCGGGATTGAAGAGCCGCCCGCCACTGGCAATGTGTATGCTCCAGATTCCGACGAAGGGGAGGAGGAGGAGGAGGAGGAGGAGGAGGAGGAGGAGGAGGAGGAGGAGGAGGAGGAGGAGGAGGTGCAGCAGGAGGAAGAGCTGGGGAGGAGGAGGAGGAGGAGGGGGGAAGGCAGCAGCAGCGCAGGAGGATGAGGATGAGGAGGAGGAGGAGGAGGAGGAGGAGGAGGAGGAGGAGGAGAAGGAGGAGGGGGAGCAGCACGGCTCCCACGCCACGGCGCGCAGCGGCGCGCAGCGGTGCACCGCGGCGGGCGGGGCCCACCGATCGGGGGGGGAGAGGCGAGAGGTGCCCCGCTGCGGCGCCTCGCGGGGCGGCCTCGCAAGCAAGGGGGGGGCAGGGCCACCGAGGCGCCGGCGAGGGCTCGGAAGCGAGGCACTCTCGGGTCGGGCGCAAGGGGGGGATAGCAAAGGGGGGTTTGAGAATCAGCTCGCGTAGCTGATGTTCGCGGCGCCTCCCGGCGCAGGCGGCAATGTATCGAGGAGTGGGCCCCTCGGTGAGGCCGAAACCAGCTGCATGCAGCAAATTTCGTAACCCCCCCTTTCCCAATCCCCCCCTTTCGCCCAGCCCGGCACTCGGCGTGGGGGAAACAAGCACGCTTCCAGCATGTAAAAAACAGCATGGGAGCGGAAAAACCGAACAACCCGCTGCCCTACAAGGGGGCGATCGTCGCAGCGGAAGTGCCTTGGACCCGCTGGTCAGGCAAAATCTGACCACACTGGGGGAGAGGAGCGGAGGGGGAAGGAGGAGGAAGAGGAGGAGGAGGTGGAAGGAGGAGGAGAAGGAGGAGGAGGAGGAGGGAGGAGGAGGAGGAGGAGGAGAGGGGGGAGGGAGAGCGAGCGTAGAGGAGCGGGAATAGAAGCAATTCAAAGCGCCTGGAGCAGCGAAAGCCAACCTGCCACAGGCGAGCCGCTGCTCGCAACCCAGGATGCGGGACACCAAGGCAAAACTGCATACACGTCGGCCGGAAGAAGCAGGTAAGAACATGAAGTAGGAAGGCGGATCAAGGTGAGATTGGATTCGTGCCCCCCCAGAGAACAACAGAACACAGCAGAAACGCGTCGATTCTTGAAGCAGGAATGCGCTTGAAGTAGATTGGGATCTGGGAATCCAAAAATACCTACTCTCAACGACGGGCGTGTATAGGGGGCCACACGCGAACCCTGCCCCTACCCCCCACGATTTCTGAGGGGGAGGGTGGGGTTCACGTCGCTCGGGAGCTCCCAGACGAAGTGAACCCCGCCCTCCCCCTGAGAAGTCGTGGGGGGTAGGGGTAGGGTTCGCGCGTGGCCCCCTACAACCCTCGTCAAAAATAAACTGAGGGATTCTGTTTTCGGTGATTGTATGGGCAGCGCTACTCCAATGCTGACGCTAGATATCTGACGTGGGCGCAAGGGCTTCAAAAATCCGACAACCCCGCCGCAGCATTGAAGAACGCAGTTTCTAACAAGTGCCCGAGAAGATCGACCGTCGTGATTTCCAACTTCGTTTCTGTTTATTTTTGACGAGGCTTGTAGTGTAACCATTCAACCGGTGGGGGAGGCAGGCCCGGAGGGGCAAAAAGGCCATAAAAACACGCATCACGGCCCGCAGGCCCCTCAAGGGGGGCCCCCTCCACGGGCCCAGGGACGATGAGAAGCGAGACGTACACCTCCTCCTCCTCCTCCTCCTCCTGCTCCTCCTGCTCCTCCTCCCTCCTCCTCCTCCTCCTCCTTCTCCTCCTCCTCGTCCTCCTCCTCCTCCTCCTCCTCCTCCCTCCCTCCCTCCCTCCCTCCCTCCCTCCCTCCCTCCCTCCCTCCCTCCCTCCTCCCACCTCCTCCTCCTCTCCCTCTCCCTCCCTCCCTCCCTCCCTCCCCTCCCTCCCTCCCGTCCGTCCTCCTCCTCCTCCTCCTCCTCCTCCTCCCCCCCCCCCCCCCTCCTCCTTCTCCCTCCTCCTCCTCCTCCTCCTCCTCCTCCTCCTTCCTCCCTTCCTCCTTCCTCTTCCTCCTTCCTCCTTCCTCCTTCCTCCTTCTCCTTCCTCCTTCCTCCTTCCTCCTTCCTCCTACCTCCCCTCCTCCCTCCTCCTCCTCCCTCCTCCCTCCCCCTCCCACCCCTCCTCCCTCCCTCCTCCCTCCTCCCTCCTCCCTCCTCCCTCCCCTGAGGACCTTTTTCCTTCGTGGCGCGACATGGTCCACACGCAGGGATTCCTGCGCTTGCTTTGGCGACTCCGCGGTCGCGCTGCACAACTTACAGCTCGTGCCTTCCCAGACGCCTCCCTGCTTGATGCGCTCCCCCGCGCCGCAACGATTCTCCACTCGTCGGGCCAGAGGCAAGCTAACTTCACTGGTAGGTGGGCTTTGGTCAATGAATGGTCGAAAATTTCGTCGGGCGCTCCGCAACCGTTCAGATTATGCCCGGCTTGTTGAAACCATGCCCTGCCCAAACAATCCGATCGGATGGAGATGATGCCTCTGTCCACTTTCAACCGACGGTCGCGTATAAAGATGTGCAAGCGACCCCCCCTACCAAGGGCTAAGCCAGCAAATCTTGCTAGGGGCCGATGTCTCACACGCACCTCGCGAATAGTTAGCCTGGATTCGAGCATTCTCGCCAAGCCCTAACAACATTCCGCCCACGTCACCGAAATCTTGGCCGGGCTCATCGAAATTGCGATTGATCCGTTGCCTCAGGCAAAGGGAAATCCCCGAACATCCATGTAACCCCTCTCCCCGCTCCAGCAACTCAAAGTGCGGCCGGAACCCGTTTGTCTGATACTTGAACTCACCGAAGTCCCGCGGCCTCGGCATCAAGCTGGTCATCGTGCTGATCATAGAACGCGGTTCAAAAACAAGTCACGACATGTGGTCGACTTGTTTCGCGCCTTGCATTGCAGCAACGATTGGAAAATTCACGTACACATTCCGTGGCCCACCAGCAGCGAGGTCAAGCCAACGAACGAATATACGATCAGCGACTGCTGCAATGAAGGTTCACACAAACACGAGGTACAGACGGCACAACAAATTACCCCCAGCGATGCACCCAACCCAACTGCGACATTTGCCCATAGGAACGGGCTCATATGTTCACGCATGATGGCATGGCAAGGAGCGCGATTGCTGTGACCCTTCAAAGGGATGACGACAGATTGCTCGATTCACGGGACAGGTTTGTGTGATGCTGTGCTGGGATATGGCAGCGCAATGAAGCAGGCAAGACAAATATGCACGAACAGGAAGGCGATGTCAAACCATAACGTACAGAGGATTGCATAAGAAGACACGAAGGGCGAGGCTTCGCTTGGATCCGCCTGCGACGTCACCCCACGGAACCGCACCAAGGGGCCCGCGAACGTGGCGACAGCTTCGCAGCCCGCAGCCTCCAGAGGGCGAGGCGTCCTGGGCCCGCAAAGGACGCCCATCGGCTGGACCTCCCAGGAGCCCACGAAGGCGGCGACAGGCCCGTCGTTCGCAGCCCTCCCTGGAGGGCGAGGGCTCCGACGAGGGGGAGGGAAGGGATGAGGGGGAGCCGCACGTTCGAGCTGTGCGGCGCTGAAGTAGTGAGAATCCCCATGGCCCTGCCACGCACATTCGCTACCTGGGTTTTTTTTGTGCAATCCTTCGGGTTTTTTTTTGGGTTTTTTTGTGCAATCCTTCGTTCTATGGCCCCTTCACACGTTGTGACTCGGGAAAACTGAGATGGTGAGAATCCCATGAACCCTGCCACGCGCTTGGGACCTGGGAAAGCTGAGGCGGTGAAAATCCCACGGCCCTGCCACACGCTCCTGACTTGGGAGAAAGCTGAAGTGGTGAGAATCCGCTGGCCCTGCCACACGTTCGTGCTCCGCCACACGCGCGTGAGTTGGGAAAACGGTCATTGTGAGAATGCACTGGCCCTGCCACACCTTATGGCCTTTGAAAAAAGCTGAAGAAGTGGGAATCCCAAAGCCCTGCCACACGTTCGTGACTTGGGGAAGCAGAAACGATCAACAATCCATAGCCCTGCCACACGTTCGTATCTTGGGAAAGCTGAAATAGAGAGAATCCCGTGGCCCTGCCACACGTTCATGACCCGGGAAAGCTGACATGATTAGAACCCCGTGGCCTTTCCACACGGTCGTGAATAGGGAAAGCTGAGATGGTAATAATCTTACAGCCTTGCCACACGTTCGTGATAGAGTTGCTAATCAACATAAGAAAATCGTAACTTCGATTCGTACGTTCCCTGGTGATAAACACAGTTCGGCCTCGCCGCCCCTCTCCCCCGACCAACTCTGCAGTGGCCTGGGATAATCAACACTCAGGGGTCAATGGGGGGTGGGGGTCTGATGTAGTATCGGGGGCATGGGATTTTACGAACGCGCCAATGGCACCCCATGCCGAGGCTGAGGCTGGTCAGGCCCTTCCTCAGCCCAATGTTTGTGAACTGATCCCTGCTTAGGGGAAAAATGTACGACGTCGCTTCGCTCCAGACCTCTCCTGAGGCACGTGCTGACCAGGATTCCAAAGCGAATCCAACCGTTGGGACCAGGGCCCACACGAGCTTTCAAAAAGACAAGGACGGAAGTTCACCAGTATCGCTTTTTTCTTCTTCTCCGACTGCTGGTCTGGACAGCGGCAAAGACGGACTCCACCCTTGGTCTCAAGGTTGGCTCCGGCAAAATCTGACAGCGATGTGGCCGACTGGTTTTTCTAGGCGGCCACATGCGAACCCCACCCCTGCAGAACGGAACTCTACAAAACGAAACGGCCGGGGTTCCGAATCCGAGGTGCCTTTGCAAACAAAGAGAACCCCAGCGGGGGCTTCTGCTATCCCAGCGGCGATGAGACCCGCAAGGTTAAGAAGAAGAAAGATCGCCATCAACATCAACTTTTGGCGCTGCGCGCGGATTTCTCGGATCCGCGCCGGACCCCCCTCCCCTGCGCGCGGAGCGCGCCAGGGGCGGCGCCGGAGGACCTGTTAGGGGGGGCCCAGGCGCGGATCCGAGGAACCCGCGCGGAGCGCCAAACGTTTCTTGTCTATAGCGTCTTTTCTTCTTCGAGGGTTGGGGTCTGCGAGCCCCTGACCTTCCAGAGAGCTATTTTTTAGCAATGGAGACCCGAAAACCTAAAAAGCGGAGCGAAACAGCCTAAAACCAAGACGTAGAATAGCTTTGGGATAGGTTTTTAAGTCGGGTGCTATTTTTTAGCCCTCCTGGAAAGTCAGGGGCGGCCGCCTTCGATCGAGCGATCGATCGAACGCGCGTCGGGCGACCGGCCGCCGCTCTGCGATCGAGCCCGCGTCGGGCGCTGCCGAGCCCAACGCTCGCCCCACTTGGCGGTGACCTGCGGCCGCGGCGTGGGCGAGGCGGGCCGGGAGGCGGGCACGAGCTGTGCCGTGCCTTGGAGGCCTGGAATTAAGTCGGGCCTGTCCCCCTACATGGGAATTTTTTCGACGAAAAATAAAACATACCCCAAAACTAATCAAAAAATAGTCCAAAAATAGTCAGGGGACAATTTTTTGAATATTGTTTGACCTTTTTGGTGTATTTTTGGGGTATTTTTATTTTTCGTCGAAAATCCCCCTGTAGGGGGACAGGCCCGACTTAAGCCTGGAAATGTGGGGAACCGAACTCTATGCACCGACGCTCGTTCCGGCCCTGCACCGAAATTCGCACAGGAAAGCGGATCCTGGCGTACGCGGGACCCTGGTGTATACATTTTTCGCTGGTTCCTGGGAAGCGGAACAACAAGTATACACCACACCGCCCAGACGTCGTCCCCAACCCTCTGGTTTTCAGAGTTCGGTCACCCTGGAAGCTGGAATAGTACCACCATCACCGAGATCGGGATCTTCCTCCCTCGGTGCAGGCACACCGCCGATATTGGTGTTGGCGTCAACCTCTAGGCCTGCGAGGTGCCGCTTCAGAAGACGATCCTGGGAGCCTCTTGTTGTCAGCTGGCCTGGCTTTCCTGCGCCTCCAGTGGTCCACGGTCGCTTGCTCGCGCCTCCGGAGGCCACTGGGGGCCACGGGAGGCCAGCGGAGGCCACTGGAGGCCGCGGGGGAGCCCCTGGAGGCGACACTGGAGGCGGCTCTAAGCTTGCGGGGGGCCGCTGGGGTCCAATGGAGGCCATTGGAGGAGCCTCTGCGGCCACGCGGGTGATTGCGATAGGCTCCCAGGAGCGTCTTCTGAATGCCGTGCCTGGTCCGAGCCTGTTTGGCGGCGGCGAGCGAGGGAGGGGATGAGAAGGAAAAGGCCTTCTCAGAAGGCGGCGGCCGGACTTCTCAGGAGCCCTCGCGGCTCCTGAGCAGCTTGCTGCTCCTTCGGGGGAGGCTCGGGGCAATTTCTCAGAAGGCTGGGGGACGCCCGAGCCTGCTGAGAGGGCCCGCCCCTTCTCCCTTCCCCCCCTTCGCTCGCCGCCGACCCGTCCTGCACGGGCAGGAGATCCGCATGACGGAGCGGGGTCTCGAGGGCAGCGGGGTCCTGGAACCAGGGTTATGTCGGGCGTGTCCCCCTACAAGGGGATTCTCGACGAAAAATAAAAATACCCAAAGAATACCGCCAAAAGGTAAAACATATGCAAAACAAAAGTCCCCAGACTATTTGTGGATTATCTTTTGACTATTTTTGGGGTATTCTTTATATTTCGTCGACAATCCCCCTGTAGGGGGACAGTCCCGACTTAAAACCAGGGGGGGGCTTCTCTCCTATACGACCAGCTCTTCGCCCAAAGCCGTTTCTGTCTGAAGGTCGAGGGGCCCCAGGTGCCAGGAGCCGAAGGCTCAGGAAAACCTGCCGACCCCTGTCCCTCAGGATCCGCTCTCTTCCTGATTGAGATACTCCTCAGGGCATCGTACCTCGGAAGCCTCGAGCGTCAGCACAGTTCGGATAGGGGTGGCGAGACGTTCCCCCGTCGCACGACAGAGATCGTCGTGACAAAACCGGGAGCGCCCGGACGGAATCAAACCAACCATCCCAGATGGTCTGGTACCGGAGATTTTCGGTAGCGATTTCGACGCACCCCGAATTTCGGTAGCGACCGGATCTTCGTTTGAGGGCGTGGAAATAGCGGGTTTCAGAACGCTCTGATACCGGTATTGGGCGCTACATTTCGGTATTTCGGTAGCGACCGATCTCTGCGGAGCGCTACCGGAAATTTTCGGTAGCGGACCATCGGGGACCATCTGGCATCCCGGGAGGGACAAGGACACGTGCACCACGGCGCTTCGGGATCCACAAAGGGCCCGCAGACCCGGCTCACCTCCCCGACCTCGCGCTCATGGCGCTGCGCGAGAGGCGCTCCGCTCTCCGCTCGCCTGCGCGGGCCCCCAGGAGAAGAACAACTCTCCACCCTCCTCCTCCTCCTCCTCCTCCTCCTCCTCCTCCACCCTCCTCCTCCTCCTCCTCCTCCTCCTCCTTCTCCTCCTCCTCCCACTCCTCATCCTCCTCCTTCTCCTCCTCCTCCTCCTCCTCCTCCTCCTCCTCCTCCTCCTCCTCCAGGACCCCCCGCGCGCAGCGCGGAATGCGTCTGCGCACCCCCGTGGGCCGGCTTCGGGTGGCCAAGCCGGCCCGTGGCCAGACGGGCCTCCCAGTGCCCCTTCGGGGTGGCTGGACGGACCCCCGGGTGCCAGGATCGGGCACGCGCTCACATGGTCAACGGTGCCGTTGATCTGGCGCGTGGGCATCACAAGCACGGATCTCCGAGGAGGCACCCCCCTAAACAAGAGGCCACGCTGCCCGGCTTGACGGATGAGCGCGCCGGTTCCGCTCGGAAACGAAGCCCGTCGCTTTCATAGGGAGCCACGTGCGAACCCTACCCCTACCCCCCACGATTTCTGAGGGGGGGGGGGTTCATGTCCCTCGGAAGCTCCCAAACGAAGTGAACCCCACCCTCCCCATCAGAAATCGTGGGGGGTAGGGGCAGGGTTCGCACGTGGCCTCCTATTTCACCCACGCGCCGTGATCCATGCTTGCGCTTCCTCGACAGGGCGGCCCGTAACTGGCTGGCGCTGGGTGGCCTCACGGCTGCCCCGCTGCCCGCGGACCCACTGGGGCTGGCCCGGGGCCACCCCGGAACGCCAGAATGACCGCCCCCGACGGCCAAGACGCGTCTGCAATGTCATCCCAAGGGCTTCAAGGAAACCGGCAGCGTGGAACTTGAACGCTCTAAGAATTCAGAAACGGTGTCTGACAGCCCCATGACCTACACATGACTGTTTCACGACACTCGAAGACGGCCACGGGACCTCTGCAACGGCCCGCAACGCACTCAGGTGGGTCTCAGAACCCTCATAGACATGCGCAACGGCCTCTGAAGGCCTCCCACGTCGCAACTTGGTCTACTTCCCTTCATGCCGAGACTGGTGAAGATTTGTGACGACTGTTGAAATGATGCGAATCTACGGCCCTTCACCTAGAGCAAGAAGACTAGTCATATACTACTCCAGGGATCTGAAAATGACTACTGGAACCAGAGCATCGCAGCCCCATCCTCTACACAGGACGGAGGCCGTTACATCTCATGATGCCTGGAAGACCACCCACCCTTCGGGTGGAACGGAAGTTTTGGGGAGACCGGGCGCATATTGCGGCTTGCGGCTTGTGCGAGAACAGCTGATACATACCACCACCGCCTGCAAACAAACGCATGCCGGCATGATCATAGGTATGGCCGTGCCAGACGACGCCACACCTCCGTGGCGAACCGGAGCGCAGCGAGGCGCACGGGCGCCATGGGATAGGAATTCACCCCAAAAAGCGCACATCATGGCAGTGGCAAAATCAGGATCCCTTCGCAACCACAATCACATAAACTACCAATGAGCCCCGTTCCAGCCCCTGGGCGCGAGGGGGGGGCGGTCGTCGTCGGCCGCGGGGCCGCGACAGCGGTTGCTGACAAGAGCCACACTGCGACGAAACGGATAGCGCGTTTTTCCCGACCTTGGTGGTGGTGGTCATCTACCGTGCTCGGAGTTAACTTTGCGCCAAGTTTGGAAAATTGGGGTGAGGGGGCGAATCGGACTTGCGCAGTCCCTCGTTGCGTTGCTGAAGTGCTGAAGTAAGGTTCCGCGGTGCTGGTCATTGTTGTTGTTGTTTGTCGCTAGCTGTCGTCGTCCAACCTGCGACACATCCGCGACCTACCCCGCGACCACCCCGCGACCCACCCCGCGATCCACCCCGCGACCCACCTCCGCGACCCACCCGTGACCCGCCCCGCGAACCACCGCGTAACCCACCCTGCGACCCACCCGCGGCCCACCGTGCCCCGCGACCATTCCTGCTACCCGTCCATGACTCACCCGCGATCCTCCCGCGACCCACCCACGACCTCACCCACGGTCCTCTGTCAAAAAGATAGATGCCTGCAGCGAGCTCGTTGCGGAATAGTTTGAAAAACATCGGCGCACGCGGTATGCTTTTTCATGTGTCCGCTCGAGCCTCGTAAACTGCCGGCGTCCACACCCTCACTCGTAAGTATCCGGACTCGCGCGGGCTACATAATCTACTCATCGAAGCTCAACCAAACCGTCCAGTTCGCGGGCCCAGCGGGCCAGAAGCGTGCTACTTAAGACCTCCGTTAAAAATTTGCACATTTGTCTGGCTCGCGCGCGCGTGGCGTGACGACCCCTGTGGGTCCGCGCACGAAAAAAAAACCTGGCAAGGTCCCAGCAAGGTCCCGGGAAGAGGCCCCCAAAGTACCCCCAAGAGGCCCCCAAGAGCGCTCGTCGTCGTCGTCGTCGCCATTCAGGGTCGGCGGCGCCGGCCCCGAAAACGCAGCAGTAGTTGATTTTCCCGTGGTTGTCTGACGATTGTGGCGGCACCGCCTGTTCGAGCTGCCGACCGCCCCGGACGGCCTAAGAGGCCCCAGGATCGGTGCACAAAACGCTTCCTGGAGGGCCCCCAGATAGCCAAAGATGGCCCTAGAGGCCTCGAAGACGGCCCCAGGATGACCCCAAGAGGGGGCCCAGAGGGGGAACACGAACAGACATGTCGAGCGACCCCAAGAGGCGCCCATGAAACCTCCAGAGGCCCCCAAGAGCCCCCCAAGAGGCCCCAAGAGGGCCCCAAAGAGGCTCTCGAGACCCCAAACAGGCCCCCAGGAAGCCCCAACAGGCCCCCAGGAAATTCTAAGAGGCCCCCAAGGGGCTCCTCAGAGGCCTCAAACTGCTCCCAGGAGGCTCCGGAGAGCTCTCCGAAGAGACTCCAAGAAACATACATGAGGACTCTGGTCCACAACGCAGGTACGTCTCGAAACTCTGCTGGAGCTCTCTTGAGCCATCTTGGCGCCCCGTCGTTTCAATCATTTTGTCAATTTTAACCATAAGGCTAGTCGCACTCCTGGGAATTTCTACCAGCAGTGGCTCCGAACATATTTTTTCGATCAATGTGGGTTCTAGCGGCAAGCGGCGAGATCGGACTTCATGGGGCTCCCCCCTAATCGTTCAGTGACAGAAGCAGCTTCCGAAACCTGGTCAGCCTGGGGTGAGCCGACCACGCGGCGGACGCGCATTCAAAGACAAGCCGGCACACCAGGTGGAAGAGGGAGGAGGAGACGAGGGAGGATAAGTGGAAGGACAAAACGTCGACCAGCCATACGCAGATGCATCCACACCGCGGGAGACCTCGGCACACCCAGCTCTCCTCCTCCTCCTCCTCCTCCTCCTCCTCCTCCTCCTCCTCCTCCTCCTCTCGAGCTGCGCCTCAGAGCCCACCCGCTCCGGCCCGAGGGCGGCAGCTGCATGCGAAGAGGGAGCGGGGGGCGAGGAGAGGGGCACGCGGGGGCTCCGCAGTGGGCTGCCACTGGGCCCCAGGCAGCACAGCACGAGCACGCACGGCCGCGAGGAGCGAGCGGATCCTGCACCCTCAGGGGGCCAGGCGACAGAGGCCCTGCAAAAAGAGAGGGCAGGATGCCGATGCCGCCGCTCCCCGGTCTGGCCCCCTGGGGGTGCGCTCCGACCACGAGCCCGGGGCGAGTGCCGCGGCGGCGGCGAGGGCCTCCCGGGCGGCCAAGGGCAAGAGAGGCGGGCGAAGGGTGGCAGCGTGGGCACCTCTTCCTCCTTTGGATCTGCGCCCCTGGGCGGCTACACCCTGCGAAATGCTTTAGAAATCATGGGTTAAGAAATTCATAGTCTCAGAACTTGAATAAAAACCAGAAAATTCGATTCAAATCTTAGGATTTACATTGAAACGTTAAGAATAATCGAGACTCTGGCCGAAAACTTAAGTTTTCTTAAGCATCGCCTAAGGTGTACCTTGGAGGAGGGGGCTCTGCGCCCCCAGCCTGCCACGGGGAAGAGGCTCTGCGGCCTCCAGCGTCGGGGGCCTTCGGACCCGGGTCCAGCCATGCCCGGGTCGGTCGGGCCTCGCAGAGGCCCTGCAAGATCCCGAAGGACCCTGCACCCCAAGCCCGGGCCCGTGCGAGGGATCCTGCAGGATCCTACACCCAGGCCCGGGTCCGTGCGACCCTGGCCCTGCAGGATCCTGCAGGATCGGGCGCTCCAGCTGACCCCCGCTTGCATTGACCTCCGTCTCAAGGCTCCCGGCAACGGCCACGAGGAGGAGATCCGGCACCCCGAGAGGGCCCACGGGCACCACCACACGGGCACACTGCCGAAGGGGGTCCTGCCGCTCGCAATAAAAAAACGCAGGGAGGGGGGACTCTGCGAACCAAAGCCAGCCACAGGGAGAGCGCTCTGCGCCCTGGGAGCACCAGGGGTTGGCGGCGCGCACAAGGGGGTAGGGGGAGGGGGGGAAGGCTTCTTAGAAGGAGGCTGCTTCTTGGAAGGCGCCGGCCTTACATCTACAAAGAAGGCCCGCGCCCTCCAAGAAGCAGGGGTGCTTCTAAGACGCCTCCCCCCCTCCCCCATACCCCCTTCTGCGCGTGGCCGGAGAGGGGAGAAGAGGGCTCGGAGCCCGCAGAGGGGCCCACACGGAGAGGGATCGTCTGCACCCACACCGAGCGTCCCCGGGAGAGGGGGCGGCACCCGCAGGCGGCCACACAGGGAGTGGGTGTGCGGACCCCTCGGAGCGGCAGGGGAAAAAAGGGTCTTGCACCCTCGCGTGGCCACAGGGACGGTCTCCTGCTCCGCCAGGGCGCCAGAGCAATGAAGGATTGCAAAAAAAAACGAAGGATTGCAAAAAAAACCTTCGCAAAGAACGAAGGTTTTTTTTTTTTTTTTTTTTTTTTTTTTTTTTTTGTTTTTTGTTTTTTTTGTTTTGCAATCCTTCGTGCAAAAAAAAACGAAGGTTCTTTTTTTTGCAATCCTTCGCTCTGCACGGTGAGGCGGCCACAGCAGAATGCAACATATGCAAATCCGATGCCATGCAATACGTACCCTGCGGGGGGCAGTGCAATACTCCCTGCGGGGGGCAGTGCAATACCCCCTGCGGGGGGGGCAATAGACTCCATATGACGGGTTAGATTCGTCTTCCTTGTACTCCACTGTGCTCTCCGTTTGGCTCTATTGAAGTACCTAGTAGTCCATCGGATTTCACCGGACGCGATTGGAACACGCAGATGCGTCTACTCGACTCCGTTGCAGTCACTTGGAAATCGACGCCATTGGCCTGTCGATGTGACTCCATTGGGCTCCAATGAAATCCCATAACGCGAGAATCCCTTTGAATACCAACCAGGATCTCGTGGAATACCGGAAGGGAGTCCATTGAACATCGCAGTGGGATCCATGGAACCACCAAGAATGCTCCAATGAAACGCCCGCATGGATCCCTTGGAGTACCAAGGGGATCCATGGGAGCATCCGGATGAAAGCCACAGGATACCAAAGCTCTGCCTGATCCTCGTAATGGTTATTCGAATGTCTCCCACTGGACATCTGCGGAACAACATCCATGGGACGACCACACAAAGACAACCACGGGACAACCGCATGCCAAAAGCTGCGAGACATGCTCGGAACTGCCCTGGGACAGCCCTGGGACAAGACACCCGCAGGACACTCCCAGGACACGGCGGAGACTCCGGGGGTAAGTAGTCTGACTAACATGGCCCTGGCCTTATGTCGGGCGTGTCCCCCTACAGGGGGATTTTCGACGAAAAATGAAAAATACCCCAAATATCCCCAAAAGGTCAAACAAATATACCAAAATTAGTCCCCAGGCTGTTTTTGGACTATTGAGAAACTGTTGTTCAACATTTTTCATCGAAAATCCCCCCTGTAGGGGGACAGGCCCGACTTCACCCTGGCCACAAAGAACACCTCTCTCGCCGTCGCGGAGCCCCCCCCTCGCCCGCAACAAGAAAAAGCGGCACGAACCCCGAGGCCCACACGGTCTTCCAGCCGAGAGGGATCTCCGCTCCACCTCTCGGCCTCGCTCGCTGAGCCTCGAAAAAGTTGAGACGCCAGGAGGAGGAGGAGGAGGAGGAGGAGGAGGAGGAGGAGGAGGAGGAGGAGGAGGAGGAGGAGGAGGAGGAGGAGGAGGGAGGAGGGAGGAGGAGGAGGAAGGAGGAGGAGGAGGAGGAGGAGGAAGGAGGAGGAAGAGGAGGAAGGAGGAGGGAAGCAAGCAGCCTTGGCCCTCTGGCTCCCTTTCCGATGGCATCCTCTCGAGGGCTCCGCCCTGCTCGTGCCAGGAAGATCCCAGGTGGGGTCCGAGCAGACGGTGTCGAAGGGTCGCGCCGCATCGCCCGTGCATCGCCGACGCGTCGGCGAGGCATCGGCGACGCGTCGGCGACGTCGGCGACGCATCCGCGACGTCGGCGTCGGGAACATCGGGCGCCACATCGAGCCGCGTCGCCGACGCAGCGTCGATGCGGCACGATCCTCCGACCCCACCTGCTCCGACCCCATCCAGGAGGCCTACGCTGGCCTTAACTCTCCGATGCCACTCGCTCGAGGGCTCCGCCCTGCTCCTGCGCCGCGTCCCCCCGCACTGCCCCTCCACCGGCAGAAGAGGATCGGCGTGGGCCTTGTTGTCCTTCTCCTCGTCCTGGGACACGGGCACCTCGTCGCCCACGAGGTTGCCTAGGAGAAGCCGGACGACGAGATAGAGAGCGAGATCACGAGTCTCGGGCGTGTGATATGGCCCTTTCCTCCTCCTCCTCCTCCTCCTCCTCCTCCTCCTCCTCCTCCTCCTCCTCCTCCTCCTCCCCCTCTTCCTCTGGTGGTGGGGCTGTGTTCTTCACCGCGAAGTTGGGTCGCCCCCCCCCCCCCCCCCCCAAATGGCCACCCGCCCGAGTCCAGCAGCAATCGACCCCAACGAGCCGAGATGTCGAGCACTCTCGGAGAGGCAAGTCAAGGTCGCTGGACCGTTGGCTGACCTGGCCGTCGAAGCACCTTTGAGACTTACGCGTGGGGGACGTCTGGAAGAATGGATCCGGGACCGACGCTGGAGCGAGAGAGAACATGGGCAAAACCGCGCGGCAACTTCGCCTGTCCATACACCATGTCTTGACCATCTCTCCTCTCGATTCGACCTGTCTGCTACACGTTCACCGCGCTCTGCGATGCTGCTGACAGCGACCGATGCTCCTCCTCTCGAGCGCAATGCGGGCCCGACGTCTTGACAAAGAAACCGAGCGAGATGAATCGCCTGGGCAAACGGAGGGCAGCTCGAAAGGGGCGACGCCCACGGCTGAAGGGCGTGCGGGGTGGTCCTTCGCCGAGTCACGACAGCCAGGACTGCAGGGGTGTTGAGATCGGGCCTCATCCTCTCCACAGATGTGTTGCATTCGACCGCGCTGGCACGTGCGCAGAACGCCCGTCTTCCCCGACTTTCGGAAGGGGAGGGATCTCGCCAGGGAGGAGGGGGCCAGGAGGGCGGTTCCGGAGGGGAGCGAGGGGGGATCCAGGGGGGGGTGAGTAGGTTCCAGAGCGAGGGGTGTTAACATGTTGCGCCATCCAGTGAAGCGTACACAGGAGACGCTCTCTCAGAGGGCCCGAGTGGTCCCTGAATATCCCCATGAGGCCACCACAGGCCAAAGCAGGGGTAAGCACGTCCGAAGGCTTCGATTCCTGATCCTCTTCCTGGCTTCTCCCTCCCCTCCTCCTCTAATCCTCTCCTCCTCCTCCTCCTCCTCCTCCTCCTCCTCCTCCTCCTCGTCCTCCTACTCTCCTGCCTCCCTCCTCCTTCCTCCCCCAAGCGCTTGCTGAGTACAGTTCGAGCTCTCGATTGAACATTGCCCGGTAGGCTTGCCTGGCTCGCGCTTTGGGCCCCTCGGCCGGTCTCTCTTCATTGCTCCCCCAAACCACGCTGTGGGGTTGGGCCCTCATTTTCACGAGACGGCGCCCGGGCGCCCCACCTCCTCGTCCTCCTCCTCCTCCTCCTCCTCCCTCCTCTCCTCCTCCTCTTTCTCCTCTTCTTCTTCTTCCTCCTCCTCCTCCTCCTCCTCTTCCTCCTCCTCCTCCTCCTCCTCCTCCTCCTCTCCTCCTCCTCTCCTCTCCTCCTCCTCTTTCTCCTCTTCTTCTTCTTCCTCCTCCTCCTCCTCCTCCTCTTCCTCCTCCTCCTCCTCCTCCTCCTCCTCCTTCCATCCCATTCCATCTCTGCATTTCCCCCTCCCCGTTTCACCGTTTCGGCGCACCCGTCGCGCGATTCGTGGCCCCACAGGGAGCTCCACCGAGGGCCCAAGGCTCCAGATGGCGGCGCCCGCGTGCGGTCCCAAATTCCATTTCGGTGCACACATCATACGTTTCGTGGCCCCATAAAGATTTCCGTCGAAGCCCCCAGTGGTAGACGAGCGTGTTCCACAACTCGCAAAGTACATACTCGCAAGTGGCCTGGATCCGCCGCGGGGGATCTATGATAAACCACATCAAAGCAGGCATGTGCTTTTCGAGCGCTTGCGAGTAGGCACTTTGCGAATAGTGGAACGCGCTCGGTGAAGTGGCAGCGCCCGCACGCGGATCCACATTCCATCTCGGTGCGCTCCTCATATGTTTCGTGGCCCCATGGGGAGCTCCACCCAAGGCCCCAGCTGCAGCGCCCGCGTGCGGTTCCACCTCCGTTTCGGCGCACCCCTCACACGTTTCGTGGCCCCACAGGGAGCTCCACCGAAGGCCTCAGCGGCAACGCCTGCATACAGTTCCGCATCAATTTCGGCGCACCTCTCACACGTGTCGTGGCCCCCTGTGGAGCTCCACCTACGGCCCGCATGACAGCGCCCGCATGCGGTTCCACCCCGGTTTCGGTGCACCCCTCACACGTTTCGTGGCCTCACAGCGAGCTCCACCGAAGGCCCCAGACGGCGGCGCCCGCGTGAGGTTCCACAACCCGCCCGCACACGTGCCGTGGCCCCATAGGAAGCTCCACCGCAGGCCCCAGTGGCAGGGCCCACATGCGGTTCGGTTCCACATTCCACTTCGGCGAAAACCCTGACACGTTTCGTGGCCCCATAGGGTGCCTCACTGACGGTCACCCTTGCTGGCCCCCGCCCTTGATTGAATTCCCCTCGCGATGCTCGACGGCCCCAGAGGGCAGCGCCCGCACGGCGGCCCCGCCACATTTTGGCACACCACTCCTAAGCCTCGCGGCCCCCCAAGGAGATCCACCGAAACCGATACTCACAACAGCGGTGCTCACAACTGCATATATGTTTGGGCCCTTCGCCAGGCAGAATTGCCCCAACCATCCTGTGGTGTTGGGACCTCATTTTGAATCAGCAGCGCCCCGCATCTCCTTCCCCTCCTCCTCCTCCGCCTCCTCCTCCTCCTCCTCCTCCGCCGCCTCCTCCCCATCCTCCCTCCTCCCATCCTACCATCCGTGCCTCTGCCCTCCGCATGTCTCTGTTTCGGCACACCCCTCACGCGCTCCGTGGCCCCATTGGGAGCTCCACCGAAGGCCCAGATGGCAGTCCCCGCATGGCGCCGCCGCACCATTCTGGCACCCCGCATCGCGCCGCCGCACCATTTTGGCACATGGAGCACACGCCTCGTAGCCCCATAGGGAACACCGCCGAAGGCCCAAGGCCCCACCAGCAGCGTCCGCATGGCGCCACCGCCCTTTTTGGTACACCTATCCAACGCTTCGTGGCCCCATAGGGAGCTCCGGCCCCACCGGCAACGTCCGCGTTGCGCCGCCGATTCCATGTCGGCACACGTCCCACGCGTTTCGCAACCCCGTCGTGAGCTTCACCAAAGCCCTAGTGGTAGTGCCCGTCATGCGGCGCCCCGCCAGTTTCGATCACCCCTCGCACGCTTCGTGGCCCCATAAGGAACTCCCCCTTCTTCCCGCCTGCCCTTGTGTTCACACCTGCATATGGTGGGTCCTTCGCCAAAATGATCTGTTCTAAAGGCAAGGAAGGCTAACCTAGATCTGCACCCAGATGAGACGAGCCCTTACCCCACATCCAAATAGATCCTCCTCCGTCCTCTGCTCGCCCGCTTCTTCCTCGCGGGGGCGCGGAGAAAAGACGGCGCTGCCGATCTTCTTAATCTCCGCGTCCCGCTTTTCGAGGAGCTCGTCGGACACCTTCTCGAGCTTCAAGACCTGCACCGTGAGCGGCCCGCCGTCGTCGCCGCCGTCGCCGTTGTCGTTTCCAGCGCCGCGAGGAAGTTGGGACGATCTCCCCCCCGTGCTGGGTGGAGAGGCCAGGGGACTGGTAAGATGGAGCGGGCGATTCGCAACGGGGGTCCAACAAAATGGGGGGCTAGAGGAATTTGCACCTGTCGACCCTGGCTTTTGTACCCCTCTTTTCGCTCCTCGTAGAAAGCTGAAGCGTTCGACTCCAGTGCCACTGGCGTGGCTTTCGGGCCTTGGCCCTGAACTGGCGGAAGATGCACCGGCTGCTTTCGGCAAAGGTGGGCCAGGCCACAGTATGTTCTGTACACGTGCTTGCGCGAATTCCGAAATGTGCCGCGTGCGACCATCCTTCAGTCAACTCTCGAATGGAGTGCTGCATGATCCATCTAGTGCAACAGGTCCGTTTGCACCGAATGATCACGCGAGTACCTTCGGCGAGCTGCTTTCTTCAGATGGTCGACTGTCCTCCTCCAATCGTCGTTGGCCGTGGACGCAGCGTTGCCGCCGAAGTACTCTGGGCCCCCATCCTCCAGTCAATCGAATGCGGTTCGCGTCTTGCCCCGAGGGTTCTCGACTGCTTGCGCGCTGAAGCCCTCGCCGCCATCCTCTTGGCCAAGATGTCCGACCTCTTCTCGATGTGCGCTCGCAGTGTGCTGCGCCGGGCGATCTTGGTGGCCTCAGGTCGGGCCGCCGCCGTGATGTCCTCGACCAGCGTTTCCTACGAGTTCGATGGGTCGAGCCGGCTCGTCTGCTGCTCCCAAGTACCCCCTTGGTCCTGGGTACTCTCTCCCATTCGCCCATGACAGAGCCGCCATCTCCACGATGCCTAAGTAGCGTGGCCGAGCAGTCGCGATCCCAAGCGGGGCCACCAAGTGCATCTACTGGCGCCAGTAGTGAATATTCCGCCTGCCAAAGGGCGGATGCATGACCTCGACGTCTGCTATCGGAAACGATTTGGAGCTCGCGCATGCAGCGCTTGAGTGTGCGGCATTGCTTCGTGGCCATCGCAGCGGCCGATGGGACGAGGATGTGACCAAGCGCATTCTGTGTTTCGGTACCGTCGTAGCACGTCGGGCCCAGAAGGAAAAACGGTCCACTACCGCCATGTCCCCCATCTCCAGCATTCGCGGACACCGCGCTCTCCTTTCCCAGCGTGTACGCGCCGATGTGCCTCATATCCTGGGTGGAGGCGAGCATCCCTTGTCCAAGGCGCTGGCGTCCAAACTGGCAGTTCGCGTCCAGCCCCACGAGGGAGCGCTGCTTGGCTAACTGAACACCCACGACGCCAAACGCTTGCAGGTGCTGCGCCAACGGTCGGCTGTCATGTTCGACGGCGGCGGGAAGTAACGCTGGTGGCAATGTCTTGCACCCGCCACGAGTCCACACTGTGAAAGGTGTTGTGCAATACGAAGTTCAAAAGAGCATTCCACATCTAGTGGCTGCGTGAAGACATTAGAGCGTGTCGCTGACAAGCTTCCTCAAGCTCCTGTGCAGTGGGAGGTAGCCTCGGGCGGCGTAATTAAGGGTGGCCAAGGGGCCGCGGGCCTGATGGAAAGGGGCAGATGGAGTGGAGGAGAAATGACGAATATGATTAGAGTGATTGACGACGACGAGGAGGAATGGCCTCCACGATGACGAGGATGGGGAGGGAGAAGGACTTAATGCGAAGTGAAGCTGAGGAAGATGAATGGAACGAAGTGGAGGATGAGGAGAAGGATATGACACGAGTATGTGTGGGGTGCAGGTGAGCCTTCGTCCCCTGCAGGTGCCAGAGTCCATCCCACATCACCCCGTTCGCAAACATGTGTTTCCTGCTCGCCCCTGTCCTCATCTCATCCACCATCATTGCTCTACACGTCGTTCATTTCTCATCGTGCTCGTTTCTAATTGTTTATGGCACCCTAGTGGCCAGGAAGAGGCCCAGGATAGAACAATTAGAAATGAAAGGATCTTGGCCCCCGAAATGAAAGAACTTTCAAATAATTAAAACTGAACAATGTGTACGCGTTCCCGCCCCCCCTCCCTGCTCGATGGCGAGCCTTTGATCCCCTCCGTCCGCCACATCCTCCGTCCTCCATCCTCCTCGTCGTCCCCTGCCCTCGGCGGCGGGCCGCCTGGCCTCTGGGAAAAGGGGCTGGGCCTCAACGCTGTTGTTCGTGCTGCTCTCGCCTTGCCTTGCCTGCTTTTTCCTCGACCTCCCTGCCAGAAAACGAAAAACAAGACAGAGCCGAAGCCCAACAAAGCAGCGTTCAGGTCCAGCCTTCTGTTGCTCCCATCGTACTGAAGGACCACATCCCAGAAATAATGTCGAGCACCCGGGAAAAGTGCCGAAAGAGTGTCGAAGCAATGTCGGACGAGTGTCTCCCAGGGCCCGACACGTGAAAACCCTCGAGCTTCGGTATACTTTTCTGGTGCTCGAACTTCTTTTTGGCGATCAAGGCTAAAATAGGTTGGAACATCATAAGTCCAATCCTGCTCTTTGAGCAGGGACCGACAGTCCCGGCATTCCTATAGTCCTACCACGAAATGTTCTTAGAACCCCAAAAATGTTCTACAGAACAGAAGCCATGTTCGTAGACCATAAGCCCGATGTGATAAAACAAGACAGACTCCGCCAGAAAGGTTCTTAGGACATTCCGTGGAAACCACAGACGGTTCTTAGAACGTTGTTCGGCAGGGCGATAGGTGAGCCAAGACGCTTGGCCACTGCTTGAGCTCTGGGCGACTGGCACTGCTGGTAGGGGGAAACAATTAGTGAACACCCCCCCTGCCCCCCAAACTCAAAGTTGGCACGCGGGGGGGAGACTGCGGTCGAGGTGCAACTCATCAGACCCACCGCCAACTTTGAACATTGGGGGGAGGGGGAGGCGTTCACAGATGAACGTGGCATGAGTCTTCGCTCTTCTTTGTCCGAGGCCTGGCTCACTCTGCCCCGCCTGCCGGCGCCCTCAGAGCAGCAGGCCACCCTCGGGCCGGGAGGCCGCCGCCCACGCGGCCTCCAGCGCCGACCGGCCCTCCGCGCCCAGCGGGTTGCCCTGCAGGTTGAGCCGCTGCAGCCTCGGCGCGACGCCCGGCGCCCGGAGCGCGCCGGCCAGGAGCGCCGCGCCCCCGCCCCCGGCCAGGTTGCGGTCGAGGCTGAGCCACTGCAGCTGCTGCGCAGCGCCCGGCGAGGACCGAAGGGCAAAGAGGGCGGCAGGAGCACACGGGCGCTCGGGTCGAGGCGTGCTCGCGGCGTGCACCACACTCGAGGCGGGGCGCTCCTCGTTGCTTTCTCGGCTCCCGGTGCCCTCGCCGGGCCTGGGGGCCGTCAACACATGGCTCGGCGGCATGCAACAAACGGGCCCTGTGGAAAGTGGTCTGGACTTCCGAGCACGGTGCATTGAAAAAAACCGGACCAGCTCGCCCGCAACGCCTCGACAAAACGCTCGTCGGGAGTTGACCCGCCGAAGTCGAGCCGACGACCCCTGACCACGGAGGGGGGCTGGGAAGTTCACCCCCATCTGAGGAGGTCCCGGCGAGTTTCTTGGCCTGGCGCTGACCCCCGCGCAGAGCGCGCCAGGGGCGGCGCCAGAGGCGCCGCCCGGGGTGCGGGGAGGGGGCACAGAGTCAGCGCGGAGCTTCGAAAGTCACGCTCACGCCTTTCTTTTTGGCCTTCGGGAGAGGAGCCACTCCACCACGCACGACACGCCCTCGTCTCCCATGCGGTTGATGCTGAGCTGCAGCCGCTCCAGCTGCGGCGCTGCGCCAGAGGCCAGCACAGCACACATCTGCTTCACCTCCTCGTGTCCCCAGTCCAGCTGGGTGTACGCCAGCCTCGTGGTGGACTCGAAGCGGTGAGCGAAGGCCTCGCGGTAGAGCGTGGCGACCCTGGGGCGATCGGCACGTCCGTTCGTGAAGCCCTTGCTGTCCAACTCTGCTTCGAAAGCGTCCGGGAAGATCGGGGCCCTGTGCCCGGCGGCGCAGGTAGCAACCAGCGAGCTCGCGACGCCGGCGCGCTTGAAGTAGCAGTCTTCCTTCCCAGTGGTCCGACCGAGGTCCACCAGTGCAAAGGAAGGCTTCGTCAGCATCGCCCAGGAGGACTCGCAGAAGCACCAGCCTCGATTTGCATAGGGGTGCGTGTTGCCACTTCGTGTGTAGAGATCTGGATTGTCGTAATTCGCCGACCCCTCGAGGTTTACTCGGCGAGTAAAAACCCATGGGCCCTCTGGGCGGAAGCGGTCGAGCGTCTGGCGCGGCAACCCTCTTCGAGCCGCCTGCCTCCCCTTCGGAGAGGGGCTGATCACTGGCCCTGCTTAGAGGAATCGAACGGGGCACTCGCCATCGCTCGGACGTCCACTCCCTGTGTTTTTTTCGGTTTCGTGCGTGGTTTTTTTTTGCCAAATGATCGAGGATGCTCCTCGCTGGTCCTCGCAGAAGGAAACATGCACACGTCCGAGCGATACCAAGAACGGGGCAGGGCTGTTTAGCACACGCCCATGGCCGTGTAGTAAACACCGCTTATGGGTGACGGGGTGCTTCTTTTCCCCCTTCATTGTTACTGAACGCCACCTCATTCACTCGACCGGCCGCCAACCAGTAACCATGACCGCGATCCCTTCGCGAGGAGGGTGCAAGCACCATACACAATACTGACAACCAAATCCCCCCTTTGCAAACGCTTTTGGCGGGGACGGTCGTGGGGTCGGCATAAATTGCCCCATGCGTGCCGCCACGTGCACTGGCGCACCTGACACTCCCCGTGTGCGTTGTGCACCTGGAGCACCTGGCGCGGATGGAGCAGGTGGCGCACTTGGCGCATCTGGCACTCTGAGGCCCCTGGAGCACCTGACGCACCACGTGCGCGCAATGCACCTGGCACGCGTGGCGCACCTCGCGAGCGTCGCACAACCGGCGCCACTATTGATTTCCAATCAGGGCTCTTCCGGTGGCGACCTCTGCATGAATAGGCTGAGCCTGGGGTGGTACTT